TCGCAAAAGCTAGCTAGCATTCTCAAACCTCCATATGGCACCTTCGAAGAGACTTAGAACAACACCAGAGGATAACAACAGGGGAAACTCATCCTCCAACCGTCCACCACGACCACAACCCAATATGACAGCTGAACTGCATGCTGATGACGATGAAGATTTTGAAGGTATAGTTTTTATTATATATCTGTGATTACCCATACACCAATGTGCAATGTAATCATCAGCTACTAAAATTAATTTGTTTAGTTTCTTTTCTACACATGATTGAGTTTGCCTACAAAAATGGCTAATTGCATATCTCAAGTTTGTAACATGTTAATGGCAAAGACAAGGATGATTATTTTTGAAAAAATTATCCACAACTCCATGCATGCATACAGTAAAACAATGATCATATATGACTAATTATTTTTTGTTTTTCCCCCTGAGGTGTAGGGGCTACTCAAAGGACTCGGGGCCCTACCAGACTTCTTCATATTTGGAATATGCCCCCGGAAAAAAAGATAACTCCAACTTTCAATAAGTATGGTCAATGTACTGATGATGGAACTCTTTCACGGTTTTGTGGCACCATCGCTAAGATGCCCCAATTGACTCCTTTGACATTGAAAGATTGGAGAAAGGCTCCTCGTTCTGTACATGATGAGATTTGGAGAATAGTGAAGGTGAATTTGAGTATGTTTTCAATCATATAAGCTATATTTTAATTTCAAATACAATATATTGATGGATCCTTTATGATAATGTTTGCAGGGAAAGTTTAATTTGGCTCCCATAAGAAGAAAATGGGTTATCAGCAAAGTAGGGATCGCCGTGAGACAATTCAAAAGGACCCTCTACGAAGAGAACTTTTCCCAAAGTAAATCTTATGCGGAACTGAAAGCTAATGTTGATCCAAGAACCGATAAAGAAAATTGGGAAAAACTTGTTGATATGTGGTTCTCTGCTGAGTGGCAGGTAATATGTTTTCACTCTTCTTTTACCAAATAGAGATAAATGTATGCACGATTGTTTGCTCATCATCGAGCCGGTACTAGGGGGAATTAAATACTTTTCGTTCCCACTTCATCCGCCAGTATTTCTGTCCAATTCTTTATCACGATTTCCATTAAACTTTCAAACTTCCCCATTAATTTATACAGGGCCATTTACATTTTCCGGATGTAAGTGGATATTGGATTTATTTATGAAAAATAATAGTAATAGGCCTAGGTATCGTGTCAATATCTTCAAATTCCATAATTGTAATTATCCCGCGAGAAAAAGTTAGCTTTGTATTTTTCCTTCTTTTGAAATCAATTGAAAAATATTTTCTTTTACCATTTGCCAACCTTTTATCAAGTTCATTGCATTTAATTAATGCTTAAATGAGGGTTTTAATAAAAAGCTTCTATTACTTCGATTTTCTTTTTAATAAAACATAACTGGACTTAGAATAATATATGGATTATTATATGTATCTATTTATGATATTGTTGCTTATTAGTTATCAGTTCATTAACATGCTAATATCGGTTAGACCACTAAGTGTGAACTGTTTTTTATACCGATTATACTCATACCTATTGCTTATTTTTTTTTCAGGCAAAGTCTTCTCGTAACAAGAAGAGCAGGGAGCAAAACAAGCTAACTCATACATCTGGCACTATATCTTATGCTCGACGTAAAGAGATAGAGGTGCAATTCTTTGCATGAAAACAAATAATGTTTATGTTACATTATGATACATTATGAATACTTTTTTCATTTATGAATCAGCTTAGAGAAACAGGAAAGCTACTTTCTAGAATAGGATTGTTTCTGAGATATCACAAACGCAAAGACGGAAGTGCTGTCACTCCTGAGGCTGAAGCTATTCTAGTTGAGTTCTCCATTTCATTAAATTAATTTGCATTTACGGATGGTTGCTTCACTTCATTCCATATTTATAATTATGTTTAACAAGAGGCTTTATGGTGCTTCATTTTTTGTAGAAGCAACTTGAAGAACTTGGTGAAGGTATTTTTGACGAAGATGCTGAAGTTGATGGAGAGGAAATGGAGATTGTGGATTTGATGAATGATCCTTTGGGAAAGGTGTTGGGAAAGGAACGTAATGGCAGTGTACGAGGTATGGGATTTGGTGTCACTCCAGGAACTTTTTCTCAAGAAAATTATAGAGTGCTGCAAGAAAATGCTCAAACTGAGGAGGGACTCAAAACTGAGGTGGCTAAGCTCAATAACGTTGTGAAGACAATGGGAGGAATTATTGCCAAACTTCTTCAGTTGGCAGGTCCAGCCGCAATTCTCCAAGAGGTATGTTATTATTGTTATAATATTACAAATCCACAAATTCAACTTAAGTATTATATAGGTTGAGGGAACATGGTTCATGTGTGCACATGCATCATGCAAACATTCATATTAAAATGCAAGGGCTCTCCAAGATGTGGTTCACATGTACATTCATGCAAGCTTTAATATTTAAATGAAAGTTGTAGGAATTGTTTTTAACTTAATTTTTTTTTTATAGATTCCCAACCTTGAAAGTTTTATGGAGGCTTTCAACAGCGTCAATGATGATGGTCAAGGTGATGGTACTACTTCTACTGGTATGTATTTTAAAATACTAGCTAGAAGCTTGTTTTGCATTTGAAGTTAATATTATTGAATCTTAATTGATATTAATATATCTTACTTCTAATGTAGGTGATGCAGCTACATCTCCACGAGGAAACCAAGGAAGTTAAGGAAACTGTTCGACTTGATGATCGTTATGGAAATACATGCAAGGAAATTGATGAGTTGATTTGTGATTTATTACTTTTGAGTACTTTAAGAATGTGGAAGACAATATTTTAATTAGTAAGACATTTTGAAATCACACATTTTTGTGTGAACAATTAAACCTGGACTCAAGGTCTATGATTTGGGGTTGTATGGACTAATGTTTTTTATTGGATGCTTTTAGTTGTTTATGTTATTTTGTATTAATGACATTGTTTTATATTTTTATGCGCTTATTTTTTTAATATATTATAAATCTTTTTCTTGATTTAAATATTAATGGAATAAGAATGTCTTATAACGAATTTTTATTTACCATTAAAAATAACTTGAAAATATCCTTAGTTTTTTTTTCTCACCAATCTAAAATATTACATAAAATAATTGTTTTAGTATACATTTTGATATCATCTTTTAGTTTCCAACTTATTATGATGACCAAAAAGTTGCTAAAATTGTTAACATCATTTGCAACGTCATTTTGCTTTGGTAACTAGTTGGAAAGCCCAATCCATTCTTTTAAACCGGTCAGTCCATTAGGGCATTCTCTGGGTTGAGGCCCACTTGTGGTAATTCTCTGGGCATTTGGCCCACAACCACCACCAACTCCACTCGAACTGGGCCTGGCCCGTTCCTCTCGGTTAAGTTCGTCCGATTTCATGTTGGCCAACAAATGAAGCCAAATTTGAACCATCCATCATTGAGTAAAAATTTAAATTAAAAACTATAATGGTAATCTAATTTGGTGTTGTTACACTTTAAAATGTCGCACTAGTGTTACTAATTGTACTATCTATGACATTTTGGAATGTCTCAACAAATATCATTATTTGTATCATATATGACACTTTTTAATATCCATACAAATATCACTATTTGTATCACCTACAGAATTATGGAATGTCCCATTAAATGTCACTATTCACACTACAAGAAAATCCAATATTAACCATGGTCATCTAGCGACACCCGCCAACAAGGCAACAACCGTGGTTATCTGATAATTTCCACGGACAAATTGACGGAAAGATGCGGCCGTCGGGATTTTATTTATTAAAATTGGTTCTGTTTATAGCCTGCCGTAAGTGAAGTGAGTGACCAAGTTTAATTTCAATTTTCTTTTTTCATTTACTTTTGACAACTAAAATAGGAAAGAGAAAGCATGCATTTGTTATTGTTTGTCCATCCTCCATCGATTTTAAAATTAGTTTATAATATATATAAAGCAAAAACAGGGTTACTGTTGTCCAAGAGCAATTAATTAGTGTGAACATTCCTAATTTTTCCCGTGAGCGCGCGTGGGCAACACTCTCTTTCTTCCGTTTGGGTTTCAGCTCACGGGCTTCGTGTTTTAATGGACTGGGCTTAATTGAGAATGGTTGGGAATACGATTTCCGGATCCGAAATTTGAGACTGTTGATGATCAATCTCCGATGAAGAATAGCTAAGAGAGTAGAAAGAGAATCTGTACTCTGTAGGGAATGGAGGTATAGAAAGAGGCCTTCTTCTCTGCCGCCGATTACATGAAATCGAGGGAATGTGATATTTTGCTTGCAACGAAAATGAGAAGATTTAAATAGAGTCTTAGCGGCATCTCAGCCAGGTAGAAGAAATCCCATGCATATTTTTTTTTAAAAATCCATACTGAATCAGGCACGCAACAGAGGGATGAGGAAATCGACTAACAAAGTAACCGGCGAGGGAAGCTAAGAATTCGATCGGCGGAATCAAGGGGAACAAAAGACTAACATCAATAGACTCATAATCAGAACGAAGTGTCCAGATATGAGAAAGAGTTGGGTAAATTGACGGAGAACAAGAAGAGTTTAGGGAATGGAAACTGAAAACGCAGTGAACAGAGGGTTAAGATCCGAGGAAGGCTTGGAAAAATTGACCGGGGAAAGGATTTTGGAATCTAAATCGTAAAAATGGAAAACGGAGTACAGGGAGAGAATTAGCGGCGACGAAGGAAATACTGAGGCCATTCAGTCGATGGGGTAAGGATTGACGAGAAAGGAATTATTGATCCAACCTAAAAAAAAGCAAAGGGAAAGTGTAATTTTGTTCGATGATTTGATTTTTCAATTTTAATTAAGCATTCAATTTAGGTTTTAGTTGCTTTATGGGCCTGTAAGCAGAGGAAGCCCAACACCGCAAAGTGTGGCAAAACGAGGCTCCCGCGCTTCCTAGTATTTTTGAAAGAAAGAGGAGAAAAGTCTGGAGAGAGAGAAAGTACGCGATAAAGGCTCAGAGCTCGTTGAGATTTCCTCCAATGGCCTCTCTGTCTCAAGGTCTCAGTGCCTTATCTTCTTCGTCGATTGAAAATGCTAGATTTGACCAGATTTTGTGTCAATGACGACGAAGGGTCGTGCAGCCGTTCAAACTGTACAGCTCGTATATGAAGAAGAAGGTTGATTTCTCACACTTATCTTCTTCCCCTTCGCCGGAGTCGGCAATCATAACGGTGGCAGCGGGGATCGGGTATGCCTTGCTGGCATTAGGACCTTCCCTCGCTCTCTTCGTCACTGTCATCTCCAAAAAGCCATTTCTGATCCTCACCGTCCTCTCAAGGTCCTCCTCCCAATTCAATTTCTAGGGTTCGATTTTGTTTCGTGTGTTCTAATTTTGGGGTTCTTGGTGTATTTGTGTGCAGTACTCTGCTATGGCTGGTAAGCCTAATCGTGCTGTCTGGATTCTGGCGCCCATTTCTCCCTCTCAACTCCGCCGCTTCCTGGCCGTTCGCCGTGCTTATTATCACCTCCGTCGCGTTTCAAGAAGGCCTCCGGCTGCTTTTCTGGAAAGTTTACAAGTAAGTTTTTCAACACTCCCCCCTTTGATCTTTTTGGCGGAATGGGTTTTACTTCCAAAGCACAAATTTGAATCCAGATGGAAAAAGGAGCTCACTTTGGGTTTCTTGGTGGGTGAATTGATTGCAGGCGATTGGAAGATATGTTGGATGCGTTTGCAGACAGGGTATTGAAGCCACGGTTGTACCCTACTGATAAGATGCTAATTGCTCTGGGTATGCTTCAAGCAGCTTTACAACTTTTTGGGTTCCTTCTTCTGTTCATTAGTAGTAGTAATATGCATTTCAGAATGCTGATTTTCCCTTGTGTTAGCTAACTTTAGGTAGCTGATATGAATGGGGCAGCTGGCGGTTTAGGTCATGGTGCAGCTCATGCTGTCTTCTTCTGTCTGAGTGTTTTAACTCCAGCATTTGGTCCAGCGACATTCTTCACTGATCAATGTCCGAAGCTACCATTTTTCCTTGTTTCGTGTAAGTGAAACTCTATGTTTTCCTCGATGCAACCTATCCTGTTTGTGTAACTCTGTGCTTTCCTCGATGCAACCTATCCTGTTTGTGTGTCTATTGAGTCATACAATGTTACCTAGCATCAACTTGGATTATGAGAGTCTGAAACTGGTTATGTATAATATCATCAAACTCTTGCTTTGCAATCTTGCAGCAATTATTGCTCTCGCGTTTGCTACAATTCACACGTTCTCGATGGTGATTGCCTTTAATGGCTATTCAGATGGGAATAAGGTGGACCAGCTTTTTGTCCCTGTGGTTCATCTTGTCGCGGGAATGGTGGTAAGAACATGTTGCGGAGTTACTACTGCAATTTCTGGAAAACAGTTCTTCCTGTGCCTCCTCGTAACTATAGTGCATGTTCGTATACAATTATATCAGAATTACTTTTGCTTATCGTCATGACTCTCAATCATGAAGATCTGAGCTAAAACCGCGATCTTCTAAGTCTGAATCGAGGTAAGATTTCTGGAGGCGTTTGATTGAGTTGATTCTCTCAATTAGGATTTCTATCAAACCCTAGATTCTCAATTCTCAATTGATTCTCCACTGTTGTTTCCTTCCTTTGTTTTAATCTCCGATGCAGTTTCCTTCCTTTGATCTCATGTCTAATTATGTCTAATTACAATAACGGGTGGGTGAAATCGTAGTTTTTTTTGTGTGCCTGACTGATGCATGTTGAGTGGATACATGCTGGAAATTTATGGAGAGTTGCAAGTTTATGATTTGCAAGTTATCTGACAGGAATTTCATAAACTAATCTTGCTTGGCTTCTAACAGGTTATATCAGTCAAGAAGTGCATGTCCAAGGTGAGCATCTAAGCTCCCCTGTTTGGGCTCATGATAACACTTGCACAATGTTTTCTTTACTAAACCGAACATCCTTTGCCCTTGTTTCAGATTTGCAGTTGATGTTCTAGAAGCCAAAGTAAGAGACTCTACAAATAACATCTGTAACTCAAACAGATGTTCTAGATACTCAATATAATTCAGTTGTAAGTCATTTTCTGCCCTGCATCATCCACTTCATTTCCAATTCAACCAAACATCTGTAACTCAAACAGTAGAAGAAACCTAAACATATGAACTTTTAGCATCAGTTGATTTTTGTAAATTTATTATGGCAGTCCCTAGCTCAGTTGTTTGCTGTATTGGTGATTGGGGAAAGAAGAAGTCCACATGAGATTTTGTAGCAAAGCATAAAAGCTGCCATCTTCTAAAATTTCATGTTGTAGTCATGTCATGGTGTTACCATCATGTGTTAATGTTTTGTTGGGTGTGTTACTTGAAATAGCATAATCTATTAGAAGAGGAAATTATTTGTTTGAAACATTATCTTTTGGTAGTCTGTTCCCACTGAAGGCGAGCTAATCTGCCAAAGGAAGGCTGATAGGTATTTGTCTTCCCTCTTTAAACTTTCCTTTGCATTCATTGACATTATAACAAGCTTATTCTACCATGTAAGCTGCAGAAAATGTTCATTAAGATGACATGCTTAGGCTGCAAAAAAAAAAAAAAAAAAAGAACAAAAAAGAATAGGATAGCAAGCATACTGTTTTGGTTATGCAGTTTTCTAATTCTAAGTTGCACAAAATAGCAGCAAAAGGCTGTCCATTAGAGCAAATTCCAGAAACAATCCACAAAGCTTGGACTTGAAGAAGGTTAATGGGAAGAAGGTGAATGGGAGCCCCAGAGTGGAGGGAGGAGCTCCGTCTGATAATTACAAAGTGGATCACAGTCCCCTAATTGCTTGATGGGAAGATTCGTGGAGGACAGGCTGGTTTACAGGCAGAGTTTCATTATCAGTTACTATGAAATTGGACCTGACACAACTGCTACCATGGAGACATTGATAAATCTCCTCCAGGTATCATGATCTGATATTTCTTATAATCTATTTATATATCTATGAGTTGAAAGTGAAGACTAATACATACAGGATTGGACCTATCAGGAGACAGCTCTGAACCGCCAAGAATGTCGAATTTGACTGATATTCTTCTATGGTTCAAATAATTAATCTTGTTGTGTTCAAATGTCTCCAAGCTTTTTCTTAATGGAAGTACCATTACTTTGTTCCCCAGGGAAAAGATAACATTTCTTCTTCTGACTTGCTTATCAACTCTTCTTATCAGCAACGGTGAGGGATTCATTTCGTGATCGGTGAGAAGGCTACTGATAAGGCAGTTGTGATAAGGTACTTCCATTCACTTTTCCCTCAATGGTAGTTCTTAAATGTCTTATAAAAGTATATTTCTTCCAGTTTAAGGTCATCAAAGCTTTGATTATTTACAACAGTTAGCATTATTTGCAGGAAAACCATGACGTTCGAAGGGTAAAGCCAGGAAGGATTTACCTTCTGTTCAATATGCTTCCTGGAAGGTAAGAGCCGGTGTGCAGTGCAAATCAAATTTTCCAGATGCATTGTATCAATCTGACAGTTTAATGTGTGTTCACCTGTGCATGTGCTTTCAGACCAACACGTCTGGTATGGCTCCTTTCACTTCTAACTTCTTGATTTGCACCTGGTTAACATTGTTCAATGGAGTTCACTGTAATTTCGATGAAAACTTAGTAACTGGGAGATGTTCTCAAGTAAAAATCACGTCTGAAATTGAGTTGGTTTTGCTCCATACCTTTGGCTTTACAGGGAAATCTTTCTAAATTTGAAGGCACGATCAGCAACAACTCTTAAGCAGGTATAGATCTGTGTACACAGAGCTTTTGAGCTTTGTCCTGAGCATTTGTAAGGGCTATCTGTTACTAGAAATCCATGAGAAGCTTAGCTTACGAACAATGTGAAGCAACATGCGACCCTTTGCTTTTTGTTGTAAGTGCTCATTTCTCTGCCTTTTTCAGTTTGCATTTTGTTCGAGTAGGCTTCAGGTGGTACGTTTCTTTGTCGATCTGTTAGCAATTACCTTAAAATTCCATAGCTGTTTGATTGGGGATCAAGAGAATCGTGCTTTGTTTTGCATAAGTGATTGAACACGAGAATTTGATGGACAACTTCCACTTTTAAACAGATGTTTAGTTTCATTGGTGAAATACTGTTACATGAAACAGGATATGACATTTCAATTCTATTTACATTTGCTGATTGAAGTCTATGTATGTATGTATGTATTTAGCCATAGTTTTCACTGTACCTAAATTCTCTCTTCTATGTGCGATGTTCTGAGTAATTAATACCCATTTCTTTGTGGTACTCAGGTAATTAAGTGGTTCGAATGGGCTGTGTGTGCATGGTTGCCAGTTAATGAAGGAAAGTTGGAGCTAAGAGGAGTTGCAAGTGGGAGTTTTCGTCGCTAATGTACTGTTTTGTTGTAGTGTCATATCACATATGATGTTGTAAAAAATGTCACTATTTGTTTCAACCACGACACGTTTGACATGTCACAGTAAATGTCACTATTGGTATCAGCTATGACACTTTGGAATGTTCTGAAAAATGTCACTATTTGTATTTACTATGTCACATTGAAATGTCTTGAGAAATGTCACTATTTGTATTTACGATGACACATTGACATGCCATTAGAAATGTCACTATTGGGATCAACTATGACATATTGGAATCTCACAAAAAGTGTCACTAATTGTATCAACTTTGATGATTAGGAATGTCTCGAGAAATGTCACTATTTCTATCAATCGTGACATATTAACATGTCCTTAAAAATGTCACTATTGAGATGGGCTATAACATATGGAAATGTCGCGGTAAATGTTACCATTGGTGTCAACCATGACACTTTGGAATGTCCTCAGAAATGTCACAATATGTATTTACTATGACACTTTGATATGTCCTTAGAAATGTCACTATTGGGATCTACTGTGACAATTATGAATGTCTCGAGAAATGTCACTATTTGTATCAATCGTGTCATATTAACATGTCCTTATAAATGTCACTATTGAGATGGGCTATGACATATTGAAATGTCACAAGACATGTCACTATTGGTATTAACTATAACAGTTTGATATGTCTCTAGAAATGTCACTATTTGCATCACTTACGACGCTTTAAAATGTCACAAAAGATGTTATTATGCTACGATTATAAGTGTCGCAATATGTAAAATAAACGTCACACAAAAGTGGTACTGACAATTGTAACAAATGTCACAAAAGAAGTTAGTGACACTAGATTATGTGACATTTATGTGACATTTATGTAAAACGTCAGTACAACACTATTGTGACATTTTTCTACCTTTTAATGACAATTTGACTGAATTTTAAATTGTCACTTCAGCTGTTTTTTTTTGTAGTGTATTGAAAATTGCTACTATGGTCTGAACTATGTAGCAAACTTCCTCATTTGGCTGGAGGCGGACGGTCAAACTTGTTGACCGTTAGTCAATGTACACCTCACCTGCCACGTCAGCTTTGAGGACATAAAAAATTAATTTTTTCTCTGAATATTTTTTTTCTTTCGATTAATAAAATCAATAAATCTTATTACCAAAAAAATTTAATAAATCTAAAAAATTAATTAAAAGAACGAAAAAAATGAAAAAACCCCAAATTATCCGAGCCCCCCACTTCCCTTATCCTCCCGCATTGCCTTTATCGTGAAATAATTTTCTCCCCCTTTCAGACCCATCGTCTTCCCCGACTCCTTCTTCTACCTTCCCCTTAGATTCACCACCTCCGTCGTCATCGCTCAAGTCCTCGATAGTCAGGACCAGCCACCGTCGTCGTCCTCCCACCGGCCCGCTCGTCGTCCATATAAGAGGTTAAAAGGCTTAACTATCGCTTTCCCAATAACTCGAGTTATTGGGGCCAAGTGGTTAGTTCGCTAACATGGTATCAGAGCCTAGAACCGAAAGGTCATGGTTTCGAATTCTCATAACGACCCCCATTTCATGCCAATTCGTTTAGCACAAGGAATGGTATGTCCAACCTGTGCAAACTAAAGCCTCGTGATTTGGCAGCACAAGGGTTCAACCTGTGCAAACCATAAAAATCCACAATTCGGAATCGGCTTTCGTTTGAGGGGGCGTATAAAAGGTTAAAAGGCTTAACTATCGCTTTCCCAATAACTCGAGTTATTGGGGCCAAGTGGTTAGTTCGCTAACAGTCCACTGCATCCATCGCTTCTACGACTCCGTCAACTTCCCTGCCGGCGTCGTCTCCAGCAGATCTGACTGGCATGCGCTATCCTCTCCAACAAAGTCGTTGGACAGGAGCAGCCTCCTGAAAGTAGATCTGGAGGAGAAAATGGACTTGTTGTTGTTGATTCCATCGCTTCCGTCAACGGTCACAAGACAATTGACCTGGATTTGGTCCCAATCGTTAAGGCTGCTCTGGATTTTGTCGAAATGTGAGGCGATTCCGTGCGACCAGTTCGAGGTCGCTTTCCAGGCGGTGGAGCTCTGGATCGCGGATCGAGCCGTTCTGCCGGTGGAGAACTCGCTGGGCGGATCGATTCACAGGAACTACGACTTGCTCCTCCGTCACCACCTTCATATTTGTTGGGGAGGTCCAGCTGCCGGTCCACCACTACCTGATGGCGCTGCCAGCGGTGGAGAAGAATGAAGGTGAATCAATTACGCGGTCAAGTGCAGAAGTTGAAGGACTCAAATTCAAGTCTTCAAGAGAAAATTAAAGAATTGAAGGTGAAGCCTTCCTTCTACACTATCTCCACTTTTCGTCAGCTGATAAGTGCAAAACGAGTGATGATATATATATTGGTTGACTAAATCAAAGCTCCCCATTTTTCATGCGTAGGTGGAGAAGAATGAGCTTGGTGATGAGAAGCAGCGTCTCAAAGCAGAGAAAGAGAAGCTGGAACAGCAAATGAAAACCATGAACAGCAAAAGAGAAGCCACACGCTCACGAAGCTGGGGCTGCAGGCGGCGCGGCGAACAATTTTAGATTTTTTTTATACGATTTATTGATTTTATTAATCAAAAGAAAACAAAATTCAGTAAAAATTTAATTTTTTATGTCCTCAAAACTGACGTGGCAGGTGAGGTGTACATTGACTAACATTCAATAGGTTTGACCGTCTAATTTGACGGTCAAACCCGCCTTCAGGCCAAATGAGGAAGTTTGCTACATAGTTCAGGCCATAGTAACAATTTTCAATACCACATGCCAAAATAGAGAGTATGTGTATAGTTCGGACCAAACTTAAAAAATATTATTAACCCAATTGGAAACTACGCTATGAAAGAAACTGACAGAAAAATTACGCAAAGTGTACCTGGTAACTCGTGAATCGAAGCCCGAAATGCCAGCTGCCTTAGTCAACGCAGCTCTCCAACTCCGAATTTTGTCAACCGCCTCCCCCTTGGGGAGTATCCGGTAGCTTCCAGTTTGATTTTCGACATAAGAAGGGTCCAAGCCGCCGTAGAACACCGGAACTACCCGCCGCCCATACCGATCACTGCACTCGAGGATCCTCACGAGCTCGTCCAAACACCACGGTGAACCAGCGTAATTGGGGGAGAAAATCACGATGTAGCACGCCGATCTCTCGATCGCCTCCAACAGCGACGGCGAGATCTCCTCTCCTCTTTCGAGATCTGAATCGTCTTTGTAGACAGCGAATTTCTTCTGGTGTGTGAGGAACGAGTTGAGGTGGCTCAGGAAATTGTCGCGAACGTCAATTCCTCTGAAGCTGATGAAGACGTCGTGTTTCGGAGGCAGAACAATCGACGAAGAAGGAGAAGGAGGAACTATATCCCGCGACGGCGACGGCGGGTAGAACAGATGGGAGCGGGTGAATCTAGGGAGGAAGCGCTGGAAAAACCTGGAGGGTTGAAGAAGAGTAGTAGCACGGGTGATAATTTCACTAAATAGTGTTCGCTGCCGCTTGGCAGGTCGGCTTTCATCGCCGTCTTCGTCGCGATCGTGTCCCCCGCCGTCGATCTTCATTTTCAGGTCGTTTGCCGGGAAGTAAAATGTGAAAGAAAAAGTCAACCAAGAAGCAGTGTAGTAGATAAGGGCTTTTGGACGAAGAAGACGTTTGGTTTAAAGTTTTAAAGTAGTGGATGGAGCAAGACTGCAAGAGCCAAGTGCTGCGATATTTATTTGTTAATCACAATTCACATCATCGATGACAGACCATGAAAATTACATCTTCCAATGAAACCTTGTGCTGCGGGTTATCTGTACCAATAATTCACAATTAGATTTCTATAATTATTGAAAGTTGACACGACTTGCTATTCCAGCTTTGTATATATCTACAAGGAAATGTCGAGCCCACAAAATAGGCCCAGTTGAAGGATGATCTTCGCATCCGTGTAGATGTGTCTTTTTTTTCCTGAATGATATAGTATAAGCATGGCTAAAGTACACGTTTGGTCACTCAAAGTATACAAATTTTTCACGTTTGCCACTCGAATTACTTTTTTTTCTTATTTGTCATTAACTTTATGAATCATTTCACCGTTAGTCACCGACCGTTACACTCCGTTAAATTTGTCCTATGTGGCAGTCAACTATAAAGTTTGACCGTTAACTAAATGACGTGAAAATTAAAAAAAATTAAACATTTTAATTTATTTGTGCACCTCATCATTCCAATTGCTTTGTATATGATATATCATATTACTTATTTAATTAAATTAAAAACAAATAATATGATTAATTTATTCTCCACCTCTGTGACGGAAAAATGAGAAGGAAAAAAAATAACATCAAAAGTTTCTTCTCGGTGGCCGTTCATCGATTCACCATTTCATCGGCTTTCGCACGAATACCTGTGTTGCTCCTTTGCTCCCGAGATTCCCTTCTGATCTTTCAAATAGGGAGAATCTCACTCGACGATGTGCTATGGACGTCAAAGCTCCTTATCGTCAAGAGATATAACCAATCGCTCTCGAAACAACAGGTCGTCTGGCAACGACAACGAATTGGTGATCGAAGATCTACTAGGTAGACTCGCCGAGACGGAGGTAGGCTCGAACGCGCTAGGACTCGGAAAGCTGAGCTCAGCCGACGGCTGGAGGAGGGATGAAGCGGTTTGTGTCGGTAATGAGATGAACGATTCGAGTCTTATCTCAGCGACGGTTCCATGAGCAACCAGAACGAGTTGCCTGTCTATTCTCCTCTCTCGCTGCTAAAATAAAGGGTCTCAAGTGGTGATTTCTCACTCTATCATTTCCGCTTCCTGTTGTTTGAATTGACGGATTTTGGGGCATATAATCTAGAATTTGATCAGCTTGTAGTTTACTCTGTTTCTCAGCTAGCAACCCCAACTCGACTCGCTACACCAATTCCTCCCCTTCCTTCCTGATCCGCCAACCGTCGGTCGTCGAATCGGCACCGCAGATCCCATTCAAGGTCAATGTCTTCCTCTGTGGCGACGTTGCTATCGAGGTTTGCCTCTTGCACAAGATTGTCGAAGCTCACACTTTCTTCCGATTTAATGAAACTCTGGGTCGCCGTTGACAGGGGAGACCAAAAAGGTGTCGGCGGCAGTGCGTACGCTCATAAACTAGCTGCCACCTCACTCTTCCCCACACGTTCCGATGACGTGGGCCCTTCCAACGTCGAATACAATTGCAACGACCAAGAAGGGTCTAGGATATAGTCAGTAACCAGTGGTTACTGACTTATCAATAATAAATCCAGGCCGAAGATCCAGGAGCGCAGCTCATCGTGCGGTTGGCCGAACGCGGGGAAAGGGGAGGGGTACTTTTGTCCATTTTTGAATTTTGAATTTTTTTTTTTAATTTATCCAACATTTAATAGTTGGCTTTTCAATGAAGGAGAGAAATAGTCTTTTCTCTGCAACTCTTCTTTCTCTTTCTCTCTTCCTTCTCTCTTCCTTTCTCTCTCCCAATCTTCTTCTATTGATCTAGATTCGCTCCCTTCTCTTATTCTTCATTTTTTTAGCAATCGACGAAGAAAAATTGCAGTCTCCCTCTTTCATTGCATTTCTTCTCTTCATCAAATCGTTGACCTCAATTATGATCTTTCTCCTTTTTTTGGCATTTTGGTGTTCTTGATTGCAAAGGAGGAAATAAGAGGAGATAGAAAACGAGTTTTTTTCCCTCCTTCTGTTTTTTTTAGGCAATATATATTGATATACCACACTATACCATATGATTTTGGATGGTAATGAAATATATATTGGTATTATCACACTATACCATATGGTATTGGATGGTAACGGAATATATATTGATATTACCACACTATACCATATGGTATTGGGTGGTAACGAAATATATATTGATGTGACAAATTCATACCATATGGTATGCTCTTATTTAATACCAGTCAATACCATATGGTATAGACTGTAATAATTGGAAAAAAAAAATTGTGTCAAAAAAATATCAAAGTGGATATCATTTTGAAGAGCACAATTAATCTGATCTAACTGTGCAAAAAAAATCCGACTTAAAACGAGTGAGAAATCGTCATTTAAAGATTAAGGGAAGGAAAATTAAAGATTTTTCGAGGAGAGAGAATGAGGTGCTTATGTGGTCCGGTCAAAAGTCAGCGTCAGCAATGAATAGGGGATAAGTGCAATTTACCTTACTACCCTTACGCATTTAATTTAAATAAAAAAGTGACTGACACGTGGGGACAGGAGAGGGGGTTACTGATGGGTTACTCAACCATCAGTTACTGACCTGATATGCTCCCACCAAGAAGGGCAGACAATCTTCCGACCAACGGTAGAAGCGGGTGAGAGCCTTGGGGAGTGACGATTTTAGGGTGTCTAGTGTTGTGTCTCCGCCTGGTTTGGATGGTCCGGTGGGTAGAAGAAGATGAAGGCTTCTTCGCGGCGTTCGGCGGAGGACAAATAAATTAATCATTTTATTTGTTTTTGTAATTTAGTTAACTAAGTAATATGATAAATCATATACAAAGTAAGTGGAATGATGAGGTGGACAAATAAATTAATTTTTATTTTTTTTAATTTCCACGTCATCTAGTTAACGGTCAAACTTTATAGTTGACTGCCACGTAGGACAAATTTAACGGAGTGTAACGGCCGGTGACTAACGGTGAAACGATTCGTAAAGTTCGTGGCGAATAAGAAAGAAAAGTAATTCGAGTGGCAAACGTGAAAATTTGTATAATTCGAGTGACCAAACGTGTAATTTAGCCTAAAAAGAATACACTTGTAAAACTAGCCAGCAATCTCCTACAAGCGACACCCTAGTGAAGCCACTCAATAAAGTAGAAAGACTCTAGCTCTAGTAGAGACAATAATAGTGATTTACGTGACACTCTATGGGCAGCACTGTTGACGGCTTTAGCAACCACTCTAAACTCTATACAAACTGACAAAGAGTCTAGGATCTGACAATATTATCGAAGCACCGAATCTCCAAAGAAATCTTCTAGAACAACATGCCGGATCTAATTGACAACCACTTTATAGTTCCCTTCCACTTTAACGTGAGTCAATAATCATTGTTCTTTGTCGGTAATTTGGTGACTGTTAATTGGGCATTTGAGAGATAGAATAGGTAGGGCGTTAGGTAGTCCATATGTGCATGGTAATTTCGATGGAAATTTCATACCAATATATTTCATATGCCGCTGTCCTTTTCTGTTTTCTGCAAAATTGGATTTGATAATAATTAATTCGATAAAGAGTTGGTGGAGGTCGTTGGAGACCAAGACATTAAGAGACGACTCCTTGTCAACGATAATTCCATATATAAAGACCAAACTAGTTTTCTGCCCGCCCGTTGGGCGTTGCGTTTTATTTTGTTGTTTTATTTTGCGGTCATTTTATCATATTCTTTCTTATTTATTTTGGGTGTATGCAATAGTACTTGTATTTTATATGTCTTGTTTGTTTTTCTTTCGCATTAGTTGTCCTTCCTGTTTGAGTTTAGGACTTAAAGTGGTTTTACACTTTTACTATGAACATATGCGTTGCATTTGAAAACTGAGGCATAATGTATTTATGGATTGAGTTCAAAAAGCTCATATGACAGATGTAGTAGTTAGCTGTTGTTTGCAAATTTTTTATATGATTTTTTTATCCATTGTATCGTTAATCTAATTTGTCTTGTTTCTCTTATTGTTTCTCGTATTTGTATTTTCTGATGTTTTTTATGAAGGTAATTGAATTAGATAGCTCTTTGTAGGAATTTTTTTTTTATGTCTTTTGAAGTTTATGTATGCCATTTATGATTTAAGTATTGAAGTTTTTGTGCTATAAGGACGACATAATAGCGCGCATGTGAAGAAATGTGAAAATCGTTATTTGTACTGATTGCATGGTGACGGTTCCCAGCTTTTGTCTCTGTTTGATGAATGTGTATTTGAGCCAACTTCGTAGTTGAACCTACCACCGCTAATAAACTGCCAATTTGATCATAAATTTGACATCCAATAGAAAACATATAAACCCGACACCCTCAAAGCGTGATAAATCTTTCCACCATGGAGCTAAAACAGAAGACACCATTATATATCCTGATACAATCACAAAGTGCTTGGCAATTTCATTGTTTGACTGCAATAAATCTTTTAAAATTTTTGATGGCTCTCGAGTCGGAGAAAGTTTTACTTTGACTTTCTTAAAACAAAGAGTGAATTTTGAAGCCCTGAATTTAGAGACCGAGATGTGCTTACTTCTTTCCATATAACAACTGCACAATATTTACATTTACTCGAAGGAGCGCAAAGCGAAAAACCTTCAACATGCTTCAACAACGATAGAAAGTTACTTTTTCTTTCTTTTTAGCAAAAAATATTTGGGTCGTTCTATCCAAGCGTTTAGATTTAGCATTTAGCTTAGCAAGTGAATAGTTACAACCCGAAAATAATGATGGGAAATGATATTATCCAATCATCAAGAGAAACACCCAATATATAGAAAATTCCAAAATTAAAGGAAGTTAAACTACCAGTCAAGTATCAGAATATTGGTAAAGTCATCCTCTTTGAACAAAACACTATCTATCGTTTCATTCTAACTGTTCTAGTAATTAAGGACTTGATTGGCCTTCATCATGCTTGAAAATGTTATGCCGAAACCAATCTCAAATATCTATTTGAATAGTGGTATTTGTCGACTACAATACAACTCAATTGATACTGTCTTGCAACACCTTATTCATTGGCCGAGTCTGATGCCTCAATACAAACAACAATTGGTAAGAAATCAATTAGACCAAAATCAAAGTTTGAATTAACGATCCAATTAGGTGGAAACAACACAACCAAAACGAATATAATATCTTTCATTTTGTACAAATTGAAAGAACTTAAAAAATAAAGATAATCTCATGCATAAATACAAACATAAATTGGGAAGAAACCAAATTGGACCGTGTCCATTAAGGGACATCAACTGGGCCGAGAAGAAATACAAAGGGTCCCAACGTATGTTTTTTTTTTTTTTGTGAAAGAAGCTAACCAATTATAGAAGGGAAAAAGTAAGGAAAATTTTCCGTTTTTCCTCCAATGATGGGAGATGATGAGAAGCAGCCATGGGCTGATGTGGCAGTAAATTAGTTTTGAATCCCTATAATATTAAGTAAGGATACTCTTCCTCACACCGGATAAAAAATACGTAGTCGTATAAAAAGAAGGCCAATGCTACGGTGCCGCGAAGAAAAAAAAATTGTGGCACCGGTGATGCAGCTTTTCATTGGTCCATGTGGAGCTTATGTGGCATGTCTGGGTTGATTTAATAACATCGAGCAAATTCCCTGGCCATTGGACGTGGGCCAACCTAATTCGCTCAAACTAACGGACATCCATTCCAATTTCCACGTCCAAGTTTTAATCGATTTCACTAATTGAATTGAAATTAATTTTTGTGTTTTGGTAGAATCAGAAAAACAGGGATCTACCAAACGAAAGTTTCTCAATCTTCCTCTCCGGTGGTCTCTCGAAGCAGCCCGGCGACTTGTTCGTCTTTGATCCAGAGTGTATGTTTGTTTCCTCCTATATTCATTCTGTACAACACAGGTGAAGGAGTCCTCGTCGTAGCGTGCCTCTGTCACTGCAAGTGCAAGGTAGCAGACGACCCGAAGTGAGAGAAGAGAGCAGCACGGGATTTTGTGCTCTTTCACTGTTCTATTCATTTTTTCCCTTTCTATATCTGGGCGTAAAGAGCAGCACGAGATTTTGTGCTCTTTCCCTGTTCTATTTGTGGTTTCTCCTTCCCTCTTTCGTCCGGTGCTTATAGTTGTTCTGTTTACTGGGGAAGGCTATAATTTACAATGGGCTACCTCAAATTGAAATGGTTGTAAGCAAGTTTATAAATATTCTCTTGTAGTGTGGAGGTGGCTGCTGCTGGGTGTTCGTCCTTGGATGGGTTTCCACCTAGAAGAGTAATGAAGGAAGGGTTCTTGTATTTTGGGCATTTTCCTCTCATCCATTGTTGCTTCTGAGTCTTTCAGTTTTCAAGAACTCACAATTGGTGGTAGCAGTCAGTAGAGTTTATTTAAAGAGGTGATCTTCTTGCTTGCTGTTGTTGTTGTCTCTATAAGGAAATTAAACAGGAAACACTCATTCACATGTGTCCACTGTTGTTTGCAGTAAAAAAAAACTCTGGTTACAGGTAAGCCATCTGATCATTAGGCTACACAATGTTGACATTGCTTAAAACAATGGGTACATGTAATTGAGTATTCCTGTTAAATGCTGTCAACATGGTGAGCTGGGAAGGAAAACCAATGTCAAAGTTCTCTGCCAAAACATTATGGAAATGGATAAGGCCTCGCAGTGACAAAGTATGATGGTAAAAAGCATATTGGGGGAAGTATGTGATCCCTCGTCATCGATTCATTGTTTGGTTGGTGATTATGAATCAAATCAGAACCAGGGTGCAATTAAGGAAGGGACCAAAACTCATTTGGTTGGTGATTAATATTGACACATGTCCTCTTCGTAATACGGAGCCAGGGACCAGAACTCATTTGTTTTGTACATGTGTCCATTCCTGTGTAGTTTTGCAGGCTCTGTTCCCTGATGTCTTTGGTCGACATATTGGGTTGATATGCTGGGACAACTTGCATGCTTGTGCAGCAAGGGACATCAGACTGCAAGCTTTTATGGGAGGAAAGGGGTGCTGGTTTGTGGCATTCGTATGGAGAAGAATATGTGTTGCCAAAGAGCTTGGTCATTTTGAAGCCATCTGGGGGAAAGAATATGTTATTCTCTAATCTCAAATCACGTTATTGATCCCTTGTCTCCTGAACTCACTAATGAGGAAAAATGGGTTGATATTTTGTATAGCTCATGCTTGGATTGGGTAATAACTCGATTGACCAAAAATCTCATGGAACTTAAATGACTCAACCTGCCTATGTAACACTTCTAAAGTCCTATACCTTGCATAAGCTTCGCCAACACAACCAGTAGTAGCTGGAGTTTACCAAAAGTCAATCAATAGCTAACTGCGATGCAATGAACGAAACTGCAACATCCGAAGATTACCAATATAAACAATTTGTACAATACAAATGAGTTATCTGAACAAGATTGGACTGTAAAAAAAAACCTCCTCATATGAATTGAAATGAATAGGCTTCCTAATTTCTTATCTTATAGGAATGAATGAGTTTCTTGCCGGACTACGTTGGACAAAACAAATACCAAAACATCATTGCACTAAATCCCAAGTTATAACTGTCCTGAACCATTCTACAGAATCTGCAACAAAGCAAAAGTTTCTGACTTGAGAAACAAGTGGGTTTCATATAATTTATGTCGCCAGTTGTAAGCTCAAGTTCCTCACCATACTATGACTTGAGCCTTTTTTAACCAACAACGTAAGATATGCTCCCATCAGGCTTGAAAAGTGCAAAAAATGCTATCGAAAGTCGGGCGAGGCTTCAAATTCTCGTTAAAAATAGCAAAAACATAGGCCTTCACCACAGCCTCCTTGAGGTTCCTTGTCTACCTTGCTTTCAGCTGTACAAATCAAGATTAGAGGCAAAATATAGTACAAATAGAAAGAGCACAAGAAATGTCCTGCTACTGCTATTCCTCAGTATAGCTTGTGAGTATATAAAGAAGGAATAATTAGGCATCGTTCACATAGGTCTACACAAGTTGGTTCTCAAAGAAGGTTATGATTGGGAGATGTAAGTGCTAAATTCTCGAGAGTAACCATCTAGCAATATGTAGATGCTCAAAACTTAACAAAACAAATGGTAAGGACACAGAGCAAAAACAAAGACTGATGATTGCTAATCAACTTATCTTAAAACAATGCCTCTACCACAATGATCATAACACGGGAAAATTCAACAGTTCTTTAGTCCACCAAGTTGAATCAACTATGTTCACATGCAAATAGAAACAGCCACATATATCTAATCAGCAAGCACAACTTTTACTATAGACATAGACAGAGTTCAACAGAAAAAAAGATTTGATATAGTTGAAATCCCCAATATGTACATAGAAGAGTCTTACATGCACATTCTGCATTTGCTGCAAATCTGCAAGAGCTTTTTGTCTCGACTGCAAGAAACAGAAAGACACAACTATCAGATTTAACCAGAGCTTACATAGACTAATAATGGAGAAGCAATAACAGAAATGTGAAATGATGCCACAGAGTAGCAAAACGGCACTTGTAATCAAAAGACATAACCTCCAATCCTCTATTTTTCCAGGAATATGAACGTTCAGAAATGACATGCCGACAATTTCATGAGGTCCACCACTACTTTCATTGCCATTGGTTGTATCCACGATGTCAACATGTAAGTCATTCAAAGAACCAGCTCCACCAGTTGAAGAGGGTCGTTCTGATCCTGTAAAGACTAAAAACTCCATTAAATAAACTTATTTGAAAAGATAATACAAATAATATTAACTAACAGGCCGTGAAAAGTACATTTTGAACAACTAAGAGAGATTCCTTTGTTATGATTAGTTCTTTGCTTTCACAAGTATTTTAAACGATGTGTTGAAGAAGTGCCTTTCTTACTCATAGTAGACAATAAAAAGGAGAAGTGAAATTGTAAGTATAACCAGATCTTTCAAAATCATATGAAACAAGCCACTGGATCATTCAAACTTTTTATATTCAGTGAGATTACTAGAGTTTAAGGCTGAATAAATACAAGTATGAATTGAACAATACAGGTGAGTAGGAGAAATAGGCATAACCATATCTATGCCGGTTGTTGTCTTAGCAATCAAGCATAGTTGACATGACAGCTAAAGTATGATTATTGTTATTCAAGAGCGTTTAATGTGAGTTTAATTACTATGCCCGCCGAAGGTCGGAATACCAATTCTGATTGTGGTTTATACTGCAGAAGGACTCGAACAATGAACGACAATCCTCATCCATCATCACACCTGAGTCTAGTGAATGAAGCCCCTTTCGGTGAAGGCAAGCACAAGTGTGTGTTAATTCCGTTTTCTTATTGGGGAATCGGGCAGTAGCAAGAAAGTGTTAATTCCACAGCTGCACAAGTTTCTAATTGATTTCCTTATATTCTCCCCAACCACAAGCACAGTTTCTTATTCAGGAATCAACCCAAGAAGGCAAGCCCCTATCATAAACTAATGACCATAGCATCGGTTCCTCTGCTGCTGCTGCTCGATCCCAGGAGGATAAATGAACGACAAAAAAAGGCCCCCTATCCCTGACTTTCTAATTCAAAGCAAAAAAAAGGAACTAAAACGACAGACATGATTCTCCTAAGATAAATCGAATTACCTGGAAGAGTTTGCATTGGTGGAGACATTTGTAGAACACCTATAACTTGGTTTTGACAGATTCCAATAGGGACAGGTGCAAAGCGAAGCGAACGGGCTGAGGGGATCGAATCTCGTCTTTGACTTGCGATAGTTTGGCGGCGATGCTATTCCACGGACAAGTCGACGGGTGATGGGATCGACGACGGACAAGTCGCCCGGGTGGTTTTGTCGCGGCCGCCGACAAGGGAGATCGATGAAGCTTCTGGTTCGTTTTGGTGTCGATCACCGTATTCTGTTTTCTTTTTTTTTTTATGGGAAATCTGGTTCATTTCATTATGAGAAAATTTTAGGGCCCAAGGCCCATATCAGCATCAATCATACAACTAAGGAAAAGGGGAGGGTTATCAACCCAAACCACTTGCTGATCCCACCCCAACCCAATGTGAGCCAACCAGTGGGCCACAGCATTTGTCTTTCTCGATCGAAAATCCCATCTCACTTCACATCCCGACAGGGATTCATTCACTCTAGCCAGCAGTTTCAGCTCATCGCACCAAAAACCCAGCTCAGTTCTATCATCATTTCCTTTCCTCAATTGATTCATCAAGACCTGGCAATCTGATTCAACAATTAAGGGGCTAAGTTCTCTGCGGTTTGCTTCTTTCAAGCCCATGACCAGAGCTTTCGCCTCAGCTTCAATCGATCTACAAATTCCTTTCTCCCTCTTCGCTATCGCCCCCACAAAAGCTCCACGCCAGTCACGAATGATGCATCCCAAACCAATCCCTCGATCTTTAATCACCCTAGCATCAGAATTCAGCTTGTAAACACCTTCCGGAGGCGGAATCCAGTGGCCCTCTTGAAGCGCGCGGGCATGATTAAGATCACCCCTAGGGTCTGAGTTGGGGGATTCATCAGCAGCCAGGAAGGACGAAAGCCATCCCAGAGCACAAGGAATGATCTCATCCTCCTCATCTTCCAATTATTGAATTTGTGATTGCAACGCTCTTTCCACAGGTACCATAGGATAGTGCAAAACTTTTGTATTCGGTCTTCTGGGAAATCATTCATAACTTCCTTTATCCATTCAAAACATGCCTTCCTTTCCCCTTTTTCGAAAAGATCCTTCTCCTCACAATTTCTCCACTGTCTTCGAATCCAGTCACACTCACGGAGGGCATGCTCTTGGGTTTCTAGGAGGTTGCAGAAAGGACATTCAGGAGCAGCACGATCAATCCATTCCTCAACGTGAACACCCACAGGTAAAATGTTCTTGCACACTTTCCATAGAAAAGTTCGAACCTTAGGCTGAATATGGAGCTTCCAGATAGCTTTCCAGACCTCAGAATCCTCTGGGTTGAGATGATGAGAGCGAGTAAGATGACTAGGTTGTTTGTTTCGAATGAATGAGTAAGCAAATTTCACTGAGTAGATCACTCTGTCCGAGTCTTTCCAAACTCTGGAATCAGGGCTAAGAGGGAAATTGAGAGGGATTTTTGCTATAAGAATCTGATCATCCCGAGAAAAGAGCTCCTTGAGTTTATCCACATCCCATTCCCCTGAATTGACATCTATAAGGGTGTTGACAGGGGCATAAGGGATAACCCCATTAGGAATAGGATCAGCCTGGAAAAAACTCTTCCCTGGTATCCATTCATCACTCCAAATGTTAATAGACTCCCCATTCCCCACTCTCCACCTGAAACCATCAACAATTTCTTCTTTAGCAGCCATAATACTCCTCCAAATGAAGCTTGGTTGGAACCCCAGTTTAGCCTGTAAAATATCATATTTAGGAAAATATAGAGCCTTTAACACTCTAGCCATAAGGGAGTGGGGTCTGTTAAGAATATTTCAGACCTGCTTTCCAAGCATAACAAGGTTGAAAGCCTTGAGATCCCTAAACCCCATCCCACCCTCTTCTTTGTCATCACACATCTCATCCCATTCAATCCAGTGAATTTTTGACTCTTTGCCCTTCTGCCCCCACCAGAAGTTAGAGATTAATTTCTGAATTTCCTTTACAGCCTGTTTGGATTGACAAAAAAGTAAGGAATTGGAATTCCATTTCCAATTCCATTTTCATTTATTATGTTTGGAATAATAAAAAGGTTGAGAATTGAATTCCAATGGGTCTAAAATATGGGAATTACAATTTCTATCAAAAGTGATAGGAATTGAGAGAATGAAGATGGAATTAGTGGGACCCATCAATACTTTTTATTATTTTGTTGACCCACTATCATTTTACTCTCTTTCTCTCTCATTCATATTTCATTTCCCAAAATAAAACAAACATATTACATTATTCATTATGGTTAAAAGTGCAATTCATTTCCATAGTTGTAGGAATTATACCAAACACTAGAATTGGAAATGGAATTCTATTAAAATAAAAAATTGAATTCCATTTCCATTTCTTCCGGAATTGTATCCAAACAGGCTGTTAGAGTTCCTTCTGGTATTTGAAAAACAGACATAGGGTATAAGCATTGAGCTTGAGCAACAGCCTTGATGAGAATCTCCTTTCCAGCCTGTGACATTGTCCTACTCTTCTAGTATTTGAGTTTCTTACGAACTCTCTCTTTCACTTCCTCAAATATAACCTTTTTTATCTTCCCACAACAGTAGGCAAACCAAGATATTTTGAATGTTTGTCCACTTCTTTGATTCCAAGAGTACCACAGATTTCTCGTTTCCTACTGACTCTCACATTCTTGCTAAAAGAGAGCTCAGATTTAGAGAGGTTTATCAACTGACCCGATTCCATTAAATAAATATCCAAAATATTCTTGAGTTTGTCACACTCCCTTAGGATAGATTTTCCAAAAATGACACAATCATCTACAAACAGCAGATGTGAAATAGTGGGAGCCTTTTTTCTAATACTGATCCCATTAAGCTTTCCTTCCCTTTCTGCTTTCTTAATAAGGGCAGTGAGACCTTCAGCACATAACAGAAAAAGGTAGGGGGACAAAGGGTCTCCCTGTCTAAGACCCCTAGAAGGAGAGAAGCTCTCAATCTTATGTCCATTCACCAGAATTGAATAAGAAATTGTAGAAATGCATTTCATTACCAGACCAACCCATCTTTCATCAAAACCGAGCTTTAACATCACTTCCTCCAAAAAATTCTACTCCACTCGATCATAGACTTTGGCCATATCGAGTTTAGCAGCAAAGAATCCATCCTTGGCCTTCTCTCTTTTCTTCATGAACTGAAAACATTCAAAAGCCACAATCACATTATCAGTAATAAACCTTCCTGGGACAAAAGCACTTTGTTCCTCAGAGATTAAGTCATCCAGAATCAGCTTTAATCTGTTAGCCAGAACTTTAGAAATGATTTTATAGGTCACTCTACAGAGGCTAATGGGTCTGAAATCCCTAGCAGTATTAGGAGCTTTCACTTTGGGAATGAGAGTTATAAGGGTGTGGTTTAGCTCCATAGGAAGGATCCCAAGAGTGAAGAAATTATGAACAGTCTCTGTCACTTTAGATCCAATAGTATTCCAGTTCTTCTGAAAAAAATCTGCAGAAAAACCATAAGACCCTGGTGCTTTGAAAGGCCCCATTTGATCAAGAGCCAACTTTATTTCTTCAGTAGTAACAGCCCTTAGCAGCTTGCTATTCATAGTAGGAGTCACTTTTCTTTCCATAGCTTGAACCACATGGATTGTGTTGGAGTTATTACCTTTTTTGAATAGCTCCCTGTAGTACTCAAATAAACAGGATGAAACTTCTTTCTGTCCCTTAAATAACCTTCTCTGCTCATTTCTCGACATCTTAATTGTGTTTCTCTTGCGTCTAGCAGTGGCTTTAGCATGGAAGAACTTAGTATTCTTGTCCCCTCCTCTAAGCCAATCAATTCTGGATCGTTGCTTCCATAATTCCTCTTCTTGTTGTATGAGCTCACTTCTTTCCCTCTCCAATGCCCTTCTTTGTTCAATCACCAATTCAGTCTTAGGTTTAAACTTAAAAGTTTTAAGCAGATTTTCAATTCTCTCAATCTTCTTCCTAATATCTCCAAACTTTCTCTTACTCCAACTCAGCAAATCAGCTCTGCATTTAGAAAGCACAGAGAGAAGATCCTCATTACCATTTGTATTACATGCTCTTTCCACAATTGCTGCACTTTCAGGATCCTTAAGCCAAAAAGGTTCCACACGAAAATACCAGCCCCACTTAATTTCTTCCTCATCCCTTCCTTCTGTATAAAGCAATATGGGGCAGTGGTCAGAACCACATCTGTCGAGGTGAATCACCTGATGGTTAGGGTAGAAATTCTTCCAGACCCAGCTGGCAACACAACGATCCAACCTTTCCTCAATGAATCCTTCATTAGCTCTGTTACTCTCCCATGTAAAGGGACATCCGTTAAAACCACAGTCCAAAAGGCCACAGTACTCCAGAGTTTCTCTAAATTCCATCGCCTGGTATTCATCAATAAGTCTTCCATCTCTTTTTTCATTTCCAGAGAGGACTTGATTGAAATCACCAATACAGACCCATGGCAAAGAACAGCCATTATTAAGATCTCTGAGTAAGTTCCACGATCTGAATCTTTCATTATGTTCAGCCCATCCATAAAAGCCAGTTAGTCTCCATTTATCCCTCCCCTCCTCATTACTAACAATTGCATCAATATGATGGAGTGAGGAGGAAACTTTTGCCACTGAAACCTCTTCATTCCAAAAAAGACAAAGACCTCCAGCCTTCCAACCCTTATCATTTCTAGCAGCCACTCCACACCCACCTGAGAATCCCAGTTTGTGTTGAATTTCTTTCCACCCACTCTCATCTTTACGAGTTTCCATAAGAAAAATCATGTCAGGTTGTTGCTTCTGGACCAGCCTTTTCAACTTTGCAACTGCCGATGTGCTGCCCAAACCTCGACAGTTGTAACTAAGAAGCTTCATTGGGCTCGGCGGCCTTGCTCCTCGGCAAGGGTCGCTACATCGCCATCCACATTAGAGTAAGAGAAATCCTTTTGTCGCTTTTCACCCACAGGGTTCTCATCTATTTCCATATCATCAGGAGTTCCACGTTTGCAAGATCACTTGATTGACCCTCAGGGGTCTTTCTTCCCAATCTATGCCATTTCTTACCAAGTTTAGTCGACTGTTTGTTTTCAACCGTTAAGGCAACTTCTTGTTCCTTGCCTTTTCCTACCTCAACTTCATTGAGTTTATCAGCTATCTGTAGTGTTTCTTTGTTTTGGAGTTCAGGGGGAGTTTGTTCCTGCTCCCCAGCTATGACAGAATTCTTATTATTTCCAGTAGAGATCGTGTCAGAGGCTTCACCAGAATCATTAACATTGATAATCAGCAGCTCCTCAGAGAGTTTCTCAGCTTGCTTCTCCGAATCTTTCTTCTCTTTTTCCTTTTTATTCTTCGAGACTTTCTCAGCTTGAACCTCTTACCATAACTTGGACAATTGATGAGATTTCCCTTTTTCCTTTAGGGAGAGCTTCTTTAGAGGGGACTTAGCTCTCATCCAAGATCCATACGGATCATTATTATCATCTTCATTGTTTTGTGCTACAGGGCATGATTTTTTTAGATGGCCTAGAATGCCACATTTGAAGCAGTAGATGGGGAGTCTCTCATAGCCAACCCTGTAAGAAATAGGACCTTCCTTACTCTGCATCTTAACAACTCTTCTTAACGGTTTTTGAGTTGACATAGCAACCCTAATTCTCATATACTCACTGCTAACTCCAGAATGTAGCTCGTCCCAACGAATAAACCTTCCAAACATATCTCCAACCTTTTCTGCCATCTGCAGATTTCTCATATTCAACGGAAACTTCCTTATGCGAACCCAAAAGTCCGCCCAACAAAACTCAATCTTCGATAAGTCCATATCAGGGGGGACTTCTTTGAAGATCAACAGTTGTCTTTCTAGATGCCAAGGTCCACCATAAAGGACCTTATTTTTATCTTCATAGTAGTAGAGTTGCAAACGTAATATATTTTCCTTTGTAACTTGTACATCGAAATCCCTTTTCAGTTTCCAAGCTTCACTCAGAACCTTCTTCAAAATCCTTCCCGAGGGAAGATTACCTTTAATAACTTTACCAACAAGGCCAAGTTCTTTTATCACTTCTTCAACTCCTTCGGTTTCAACCGTATCTTCCATGCTAATAACAACTTCCTCATCTTCCGTTAGATCAATCCCTGGCAGTTTCTCAACTAACTCGCTTGCCATGAATGCAACAGGGATACTATAGAGGTGAACAGCAATGAAAGCTGGGTAGGCACAGGGGCCAGAAGACACTGAACAGTCAGCAGGAACAAGGGAAAACCACAGAACAACCACAAGCAGAAACGACATATGGGACTAGAAGGAAGACACTACCAACAATAGGAAGGGGACCGCCCCAGAGAAGAAGCAGGTATGCATAAGAAGAATGTGAACAAGGAGACAACAGATCAAAAGGGGCAGGAACTCCTCTCCAGGAAGGTGGGAAGATAAAACGTCACCACTGGTGGACAGTGAAAAGACAGAGGGAAACTCTCCAGGGACAGAGAGAAAAAACTTGTGAAGTTTCCACCGTATTCTGTTTTCTGATTTTGCCTTAAACGCAGCTACATGATTTTTAATTTAATTAAACAGAAAAATGAAAACAAACCATCCAACTGGAAATCCCGTTGTCGTTACTTTGGGACGGGTCGAGCCATTTCTAACGTGCCACCTGAGTTTGGTTTAGGTTAATTAAACAAATCATTTGCCACGTCACAGCCACGTGGACCAATGAAAAGTGGCGTTACCGGTGCCGCACTTTTCTTCGCGGCACAGTAGTATTGGCCTTCAGTTAGAGATCATATATACAAAAATGAAAGAGCCATTACCCGTTCGGTTATCCTTTTAATTTCCTCATGCATTATTTTCGCAAATTAGTACTTGTGTGGTTGAGTTGAGCTCCAGTTTAATTTATTTATATATCTTATCGAAATATACAAGAAATGTGCTTGAATTCTCGCCACCACATGTAATTAGTTCAGATCAAAACTGCTAGTGAGTCGCTAGCTGAAATTAAGCATTTCCAAATTCTAATCAGACTCGGCTCCCCGTAATGTAACTGTAGTTGTAGGCTTGTAGCTTCAATGCAACGAAAAAGAAAAGGAACATGGATGTGTTCGTTTTAGTCACTCCTAAAACTAAATTGTTGTAAGGCTTTAGGGGAAATGAACTTAGAGGTGACATTTGAAACTTATTAGTAGCAGTAGACATGTCATTTGTAAATATGGAATCGATCAGTAAAGTCTGTTCAAATACCTTTACAGGCCACTCGAGATATCAACAATTTCTGTAGTTTGGTGGTTAGAATATCATGTTGTGACCGTGTTGACCTGGGCTCGAATCCCAGCAGCCACATCTACTTTTACATAGAGGGGGGTGTAAAAATGTAAAATACATGAGCTGCTGCCGTAAAAATGTAAAATACATGAGCTGCTGCCCCTGGACTTCAGTGACATTTCGAATCAAGTTCGAGTGATTGTACCACTCGAACATAGGGCTGGGCTCGAATCCCAGCAGCCACATCTACTTTTGCAGAGAGGGGGTGTAAAAATGTAAAATACATGAGCTGCTGCCCCTGGACTTCAGTGACATTTCGAATCAAGTTCGAGTGATTGTACCACTCGTACATAGGGCTGCAAATGAGCCCAGTTTTACCCCAGTTTGAGCTTGATTCGTTAACAAATGAGCTCGAGCCCGAGCCATTTATTAACGAGTCGAGAGGGGGTGTAAAAATGTAAAATACATGAGCTGCTGCCCCTGGACTTCAGTGACATTTCGAATCAAGTTCGAGTGATTGTACCACTCGTACATAGGGCTGCAAATGAGCCGAGTTTTACCCCAGTTTGAGCTTGACTCGTTAACAAATGAGCTCGAGCCCGAGCCATTTATTCACGAGTCGAGTTTGAACTAGGCTTGTTTACTAAATTCTTAGATCATATTTGATACATTCATTTTCTATGTGGTGTATGGTACATGTGATTGATGTAACGATAAAAAAAATAATCAAATGTTCAACATTAATTAATCTTATATTATAATTAGTAGATGTCATATTGTTTAGTTAATAAATTTTAACTAGTTCAAATCATGTTATTTCATAGTATCGAAATAATTTTGTACATAATTTCTTTATAGAATTAAAAATAAGGCATATTTTTTACATGTTCAACATGTTAAACTTCACATGATGTGAGATATATAATTTAACAATCCTATGAATTATGAAAGTCCAAATTAGATCGATTAGTCCATAAGTCGGTGATCAAGTTGGCCCTCAAGCCACAATGTTGAGACATCTCATGATCTCTAAATGAACCAACTCACGAGTTGAGCTCAACAAGTCACCGAGTCGAACTAGCTCGCGAGCTTCGCGAGCTGAACAAAGCTAAGCTCAAGCTTGGCTCATCAGTAAACGAGTCGAATTTTGAACGAGTTTTTCCGAATTCGAGCTTCGAATTGCTCGCAAGTAGCTCGGCTCATTTGCCGCCCTAATTGTACACTATCTCCAAGTACCAATGATTCATTCTATTGCATCATCGAATCCATGAAGCGGTAAGTCTAAAAGCGAAAGCAATGCATACTTCGAAGAACTTATCAGATCCGATCAATATTACCAAAAATGAATGCGGAGACATCACCTTTCTCTCTTTGAGCACATTGGAGGGATAGGACCAAACTATAGGCTGGCTATATCATGTACTGAATGCGCCATGTAGCTTCTCTTATAAATAGGAGAAACTAAAATCGTAAAAGGGTTCCACAACCAAATATTTGACACATTATGTCAAACGTTATCCTTTCTCTATAATGTAGTCATAGACGTAGCTTTTAGTTTATGGAGCTCTCACTAAACCTCCATAAGCGTAGGAGTAATTTAATTTGGTTTTCTCAGCCATAAAAAAAAAACATTAAACGCCCTCGTTCGAACATTGTTCGGAGTGGAGTGAATCGTGTTAATCGTTGTTCAAGTAGTCAAAGGTGTAAATCATTGAATTCAAACACAATATTTTCCTCGGGGGAAAACAACTGATCTACTGGTTTACTATTGTAAGTTTGTAACCATAAAACTTCAAGAAAAAAAAAACTTTAACATAAACTAAAATCATCCAACCTCAATCACTAATTTTAATTATACTTGTTCTTCTTTCTTTTAATTATACCTCAATCGGGTCGGTTCAGAACGGCTCAACTCAGGATTAGCAAAGGAAATGCCCACTAGGGGTGGGAAGCAGTGCGGTCTTATGCGGTACGGTCCGATACGTTGTGGACCAGGCAGACCATGTTAAAAAATTCTCTCTTATTCCTTCCTCCAACCCTTCGGCGGTATATATAAAAATAAGAATTTTAGTGACCAATATGTTAGTGAAACAAAAATTTAGTGATCATAATTAAAATGAGAATAAATATATGAGGAGAGCGGTGGATTTTTTCAATTTTCAAACTCATTACACACAAAAAAAATATTCAAATTCTCTCTAGTGTACACGACTCTATCCAGTATCCATTAAAAAAACACACACCAATTAGCATTGTTTCACTCTTCCTCTATGTGCTACTTCTTCTCTCCCTCTCTCGGGTGATCCGAAGGTTCTCGCAGTCGATCACTTTCGTGATGACGCCGAGGTCGTTTGAAGCATTAAGATGGTCGTTTATCTCTCAATAATTTTCTTTATCTCATTAATGTGGATGAATTTTTCTAGTGTTTATGTTTTATTGACTCCATAGTCTAGACATTGTCGGTGAATATTATTTATGAATCTTTCTGGGTTTTGTGTGGTTCTTTGATAAGGAGATAATGTATAAGCGATCATTGGGCAATCTTTTGGCTAACAACTAGATGAAGAATCAACTAACTTTGTTATTGAAATACAAAAAATGTAGGTTTAATTTATTGTTATTTTGATTGAGTTAGTAGGTAGTTTGTCGCAGTCTGTTACGGTTTACTGCAATAGACCGCGATCCAGACCACTTCAAATCACGCACTATAGAAAGAGACCATAAACCAACCCAGACCATACTAGACCAAACCATACGATACGATCTAAACCGCGATTCCCATATGGTTTGTCTACATTCCCAGCGCTAATGCCCACCCCTACAAAATACCTAATATGGATTCAAATTCAGATGCTACTACCATACAACCAAGACTTTATGTTGTCCAAAACCAATTCATCCTTCATTTTGCTTGTTTCATTTCTACTTCCCCGAACCGGGCCCTTATGTAGATTGATATGAACTAAAAGATCCAGCCCAGCCCAAGAATCAAAACGATCTCTTCCCCTTGCCACTTGCTTGAGTTGGTGCAGCCGCAGCGCAGGGGAAGGTTCGGGTTGGGAAGTTGGCAGGTGTTTAGATCGGAGCGAGGGTCGGAGATTGGTACAGTTGTTCTCTGCGCCCGGGAAAAGCTCAGCTACGGCTTCACAAATCTCAGGTCTGGACCTCCCACTCTCTCTCTCCTCTCCTCTCCACCCGCCTTTCCACTTCTCCAATCGATTCGATTCAAATCCAAACTCCCTCCAGTCCGCGTACTCTCATCGCCTTCATTTCCTCAGTCCAACATGGCCACCGGCGAAGTAACTCTAATCCCTCCGCGCCTCTCTCCTCCTCCTTCTGCATATAGGTTTACCGGAAGAAGGCGAGGAGATGCGCCATGGTTGACCTGTTTCCCGATTCTGAATAGCATTGATGTCGGAAGAAATGGGGAGTAGGGTTCCAGTTCAGCACTATGACTTGAGATCGCCTCCTACTGCCAATTCATTCATCGGCAGCTCTCTTCATGACCTCAACACCGTCGATTCTCGACCGCCGGCTAGTATCGAAGGCATAACCGAAGCCGATCCCCACCCTTCTTCCTCTGATACTGGCCTCAACGGCGACCACGACTCTCCTGACCCTGCTGTTGTACGTCCTCCTCTCCCTTTGTTTCAATCCTCTGTTCTTGTTGTTGGTAGCTTGATTTTACTTTCACTCTCTCCTTTGCCAACTCGGAGCTTCTCTGTTTCTGCTGTTATGTTAGGACTGCATCCATGAGTCCTACAGAAACTCTTTGCCACTTCATGGTGTCGGGGTTGAAGAGGACCGCTCTAGCGTCGAGAATAGTGGGTCTTCAAGGGTTCCATACAATTTGATAAACATCGAAGGTAATGCATTTTTAGTAGACGGACGATGTTGATTCACTGTATGGATTTGGGTTTCACTGAACGCATTTTTGTCGGGGTGGCTTCTCTCTGCAGATGTTACACCTATTGAATCTGCAAGGGCTAGACTTTTGCAAATTGTTGTGGATTACTTCATTAGCGATCACTTGATTGAGGTGACGGATAATGGCAGTAGTGAGTATTCTGGTCATCCTGGACAAGATAGTTTGAGCAAAAGGAAGTCTGGAGATGTTAGATATGAAGGGGATCCGAGGTTTGCTTTGCCCTTGATGTACGTCGCCAATTTGTATGAGACGCTAGTGAATGATGTAAATATTAGGCTGGCTTCCTTGAATTCTATTCGGGATAAGACCATTGGGATAGCTCTTGAAGCAGCCGGTGGTTTGTACAGAAAATTGGCCAAAAAATTCCCCAAGAAAGGTACGGATGTTTCTGCTTTTCTGGTCACCAGTGGATTGCATAACTGAACTAGTTGTCTCCACATTTTTGTCATATTGAAAAACTAATAAGAATGAGGGGTGTTAAGCTTTTTATCATCCTGGCGTCGAGCTATTTTTCCGCAGGACCCCTCTTATTCTTTAGATCTCTTGTTTGAGAATTGCTTGGCACTCATTTTTGTTTCAAATATGAAAACTGTTTGATCTTGTGTGATTTGTTGAGTTAGATAAAATAAAATAATATGCGTAGGTGTATTACATTGAGGTCTTTCAACTACTTTGTGTTTTTCTTCCCTGTTTTGTTTAGGTTCTTGTATGTTTAAAAGAAGAGAACTGGCAACTTCTGTGGAGACAAGGACGAGATTTCCTGAGTTGGTGATCCAAGAAGAGAAAAGAGTGCGTTTTGTGGTGGTCAATGGTTTGGACATCATTGAGAAGCCGACGAATCTTCCTAGAGAAGATGCAGAGTGGTAAGCGAGGACAATTAATTCAGAAATTTTGTTTCGTTTGAACTATTGTTGGATAGAACAAAGGAAGCACGTAAGATTATCATGGAAAGAAATGCAGCTGAAGCAGACAATAGTATGATGCAATTGGCAGTTTTCTTTTTTGGAAATAAGAATAGCAAGATCAATAATCTGCATTCTTTTTGGAACCATTTAGCTTCCTGGTACAACTTATTTATTGGAATAGAATAGTGAAACACACAGCATTGCTCTTTTGGGACATGCAATCTTTTTGCAAATGTTCAAGTGACCAGCTCTTATACCCTCTCTTTCTTGTTGCTAGTCTTTTCATTTGGAGTTTGGTAAACATGCATACCTTTATTGAAACTGGTCTAAGTACTCTTGTTTATGCTGATTTCATCACTGACTCACTATTTCTGATTCCTAATTGTTTATGTACCTTTTCTGTTGGTAATGTACTAATGTTTGTACTGTCTAGTTACTTGGTCATTCTTTGCAAATCTATGGGTTGTAATACGTAAGATGATGCCATAAACTACAATAAATTGTACCTTTATTCATATTGTCTAATAGCGAACTTATGACATTGTTGTACTGCAGTTTTCTTTGAATTGTTTGTTATATGCATGAACTAGTTGTTCATTTTGAAAGGTTCAAGAGACTTACTGGTCGGAGTGAAGTTTCTGTATCTTCTCAAGACTATAAATACTACTCTCCAAGGCACAAGTACAGGCGTATTCTATCTAATGTTCCCGGATTACAGGTAAGTTTTAGTTTCCTTGTGGTTTCAGTTTCAGGGTTGCCAGTTCAGATTGATGAGAACCAGTGACGAGTCCTGTACAAAGGGAAAGTGAATTTGGGCTTCAAGCATGTTGAAGTAGGAATTGTTAGTTAGAAATAGAATCACTCTGTAGTTTTCAAGTATTAACAAAGGCCTAGTTATTCTGTTCCAGGAGTTTTTGAGTAACCTCATATATTTGTTGTGAAGATGATTATCTTTTGTGACATAGTTAAACCATAATGAGATGCTATTGTGTGTTGTTATATGAATGTTCTCTGATTACAGGCTTTATTTAGTTGTCAGATACGTATAATTAAACTTGATTGTGACTCGATACTTCCGCAGGCCACCCATGGGACAGATAGTTCATCTGCAATGTCTGCTGATCAAGGATTCCGCTCAGTAAGTACTGATTAAATGTCTTTTATATTTTACAAATCGAGAGATTTTATTATTCTTTTTACTGCTGCACTTCGTGATATTCTCCCCTGAGTACTGTACTTAATTAGCAATAACTTATTGTTAAAATACATAAACCACCAGAACACCGCTTCAATTTAACTTTATTTTGTTTGACCGGAACTTGCTCAAGTGCGTCAAACTTATGGCAAGTTTTACCAAGTTGGGTGGGTATAACTTACATGAATAAATTGAGAATTTAATTAGGGATGGGGATCTTGTGAAGTTGTAATATATGTGTGATCATTGTTGATGTTAGCAAATAATGATTTATTCAAATGGTTGTCATTTGGTTAGTTAACCTATAGTGGGGACCCGGGGGTCATGCTTATTTCTTTCTTTGGTGGTTTCCTGAAACTATCTTTTGCAGCCACATGGCCACGAGCAGACTCCTCCGAAGCATAATGCACAACCTTTGGCAAACCAGCCACATTTTCATCCAGTTCTTCAAGCACATCAGAGCCAACATACTCCACACTTCTCTCAAAGCCATCAATGTGGACCAGCTCACATGTCAGAGATGCCACATGCCAACCATTCACCTACCATTTCTCAACACATGTCGTATTTACAACCCCTTGCCGGAAGCCATCTCACAGGGCGTTTGCATTTAATGGTGAGAGCTATTGTGATTGAATATATTGACTGCGTAGGAACTAGGAGGACGGTCCAGGGTCCAGACACTAGAAAGGAACCTTGATTCTTTGAAAATCAAATGTTGTATGACAATCAGTTATAGGTCTTTCAGAGCACCCTATTGCATTTTTGCATTGCATAAACTCATCCCTGGCCAGTATGTTTTGACTGAAAGTTCTAAGCGAAAATCCTAGGAAGTTTATGACAAGGGGGGATCAAGTAGCTTATCAACATATCCAGCTGGTTCTTCAGTGTCTTGGTTAATATGGTGTTTGCTTGCGTCATTCCTATAACAAAGGAGGCCTAGGATTAAGTTCTGTCTTGTAGGGATGGCTAGCTGACTTGATTTTGTCAACTTTTTCAGGCGAAGTTCTGCGATGAATGTGGTGCTCCTTATTTGAGAGAAACGTCAAAGTTCTGCTCTGAATGTGGCACAAAGAGGCTGGGAACATGAGCCAATGGCTCTGAACGTGGAATAGGGATTTCCTCCGATGTAAATTATTCTAGCGGTCCAGGGTGTTGTATCATAAATTGTCTGGTGTATTGGTTAGTTTGATGAAGCATCAGACAGCAAGGGTTGTGGTCCGTTCGGGCTTTGATATTAGGCCGATGGTTCTCGTCTTCAGCTTTTTATGCTCTGTACGCAATTATTCTGTAATCTAAATGGTTCTTTGAAACTTGAGTTCTAAGTTGCTAAGAAGTTAATTTATATGTGGTATGGTTGTCACGTCGGTCGGCGTCCCACTGGTTGAACCTGTACCAGTCATAAAATCGGTATGACACCATTGGTATGACCGGCATGATCGATATACGAATCTCCAAGTAAAATGATCTTATCTTAGTGAATTTAATTGATAAAAAGTAATTTATTATTTATTTTATGTGTTAAAAAGTTAAATGTTGATGTTATTTGTTGGATTCAAATACAAATATTTAGGTATTGACGTTAAATGTCCTATTTAAATATGAGTATTTATAAATTATTTGTAATATTAACTGGAATGAACCGACACAAACTGGTATGTACCACCGGTCGAACCATTCCACTTGCTAAACCGGCACACTGGCACAAATCGGTTTGACACCCTTGTATGTGGATCATTGCTGCAAGGTTTGGAATTTTGACGATCTTGAAGGGTTTTCTGTTAAAATTTGGGTGACTCGACAATTATAAAAAAACTAACGTTGTTAATAGAATTTCAGTAATCAAATTTGAGATATACCACTTATGGGTCGGCATGTGGGTGGTTAATCCGCTGATTGATATCGATTCACCCACAAATAACCCGACCCGCAAGCAGTAGGTGATTGTTGTGGGTGGATTGCGGATTGATAAATCTCCCACCCGCACTTATGTGGGTGGGTTGTTGATGGATTGCGAGTCACCCGAATGACCCGCATCCTATTTTCACATGAAAAAGTGTTGTTTTGACTACTATTATTGGTTATTGTGTTGTGTAATATCCATTAGACATTAGATATTAGAATGTAAATTATTATTAATCTTCATTAAATATTGGGATGAAAACTTTAAATTATTAATTTTATCAAAATCACAAAATGCGTAAGTTTTCTCTACACAATTGGTTGATAGAATAGTAAAAAAAATTATGCAAATACTATATGGATTCACTTGAGACAAGTGAGAAGTGTTTAAATTGATACAGTCTTACTAATTTACTGCGAACTTATTATAAATGTTAGCCAACTTTCTTAATGGTTAGTTGGAGAATTGCTTTTCCGGGTTAACCCACGACCCAACCACACTTATTTGTCACCCACCCAACCCGACCTGTAGAAGAATGTGGGTGGATTGCGGGTCACAATTATTCCAACTCGCTAGTAAGCGGGTGGGTCAATTTGAAACGAAAACCCACCCAACCCACCCCTAATTCCACTAATAGAATACAAAATCTTATGTGTCAAATATGAAACAAATTAATAATTTTAGGGGTAAATGACACATTTGGTCACTGAGATTACTAAATCGTGTCATATTTAGTCACTAGAAAATTTTAATATCAATTTTGGTCACTCGAATTACTGACACATGTCACATTTGGTCACTCTTCTGTAGCCTCTGTCCAACTCTGGTCACTCGAATTATTGAAAAATGTCACATTTAGTCACTCGGATTACTGAAACATGTCACATTTAGTCACTCCCCCAAAAGTTTCCGTCCAACTACATTAATGGAGTTGGACGGAAACTGACGGGAGAGTGACTAAATTTGACCAGTTTCGGTAATTCGAGTGACCAAAATTGATATTAATTTTTTCTAGTGACTAAACATGACACAATTTAATAATCTCAGTGACCAAATGTGTCATTTACCCATAATTTTAGTCACCAAACTTCTAATTTAGGCAACAACAAAAAAAAAAAAGAGTTAGTCACCAAACTTGTTACTATGACAGATTTAACCCCGAAATAAAAGTCTTTTCTGTGTTTGAGAGTCTTAAAAGCCCATTTTTCTCAACTATGGAATCTATAGGCCCAATAACTGTCCCCTCACAGTTTCAGCTTAACTCCTTGCTAGTTTCAAACGGAACGCCCCGAAAGCAGTTTCGGAGCTCTCACAAAACCCTCCATCCCGAGAACGAGCCAGCGCATCATCGTCACACCATGCCTGCCTGCTTAAACCCTACTACTGCTATTCTTCACAACCCCTTCGGCTCGTTAGTTTCTACAGAAACACCAGATGAAGCTTCCCCTCGCTCTCTAGATACCTGCAAATGAAGCTCCTCATCTTCCGGGCGCTTCTCAATATTCTCCTCTCAGCAATGCTATTTTCACTCCGCAGTCTATTCCACGTCCGCCTGCGCAGCAGCCACCGTCTCTGGTTCACCTCTCACCCTCTCCTTCTCAACAACTACAACAATCATATTCGTTTTGTAGTCCCTCATTCGCCCAATGTGTCTTTAATATCCTGCCCGTGTATTTGGTTCGCTGGGTTTCTCTGTATCCTTAGGTTGCCGTTTGCCACTAGGACAGTCTCTACAAACTCTGATGTTGTCATCGGAGAGTTGGACAGGGATTCAGTAAGTAAAATTGTTAAGCAGGGCTGTTGGGACGATCCCAGAATCGTAGCGCTCGTTGGTTCTTCTTCCTCTTTGGCTCCTTTACGGGTTTCCAGGGTTCTGCTGGTGTTACGGCATGACCCGCGATTGGCATTGAAATTCTTCAATTGGGCGAAAACCCTCATTGGGTTTCGCCACACCACGGAATCCTACTGCTTATTGGCTCACATTTTGTTCTACGGCAGAATGTATTTCGATGCCAATGACATTCTTAAGGAGTTGGTCTTAGCAGGCAGGAGTTTGCCAGGTTTCGATGTGTTTGAAGTTTTGTGGTCGACTAGGAATGTTTGTGTCTCGGGTTATGGAGTTTTTGACGCGCTTTTTAGTGTGTATATAGAACTAGGGATGCTTGAGAAAGCTGATCATTGCTTTTCGAGGATGAGAAGTTGTAGAGTGTTGCCTAAAGCACGATCATGCAATGCCCTCCTGCATAGGCTAGCCAAGGGAGGGAAGAAAGAGGATGGTGCTATTAGGAACTTCTTTAGGAATATGGTTGGTGCTGGAATTTCTCCCTCTGTGTTTACTTACAACATCATGATAGACCATGTGTGCAAAGAAGGGGATATTGAAGCTGCTAAAAGCTTGTTTGAGGAAATGAAGCACAAGGGTGTGATGCCAGATGTTGTAACTTACAATTCGCTCATTGATGGATATGGGAAATTAGGCTTTTTGGAGAATTCAGTGGGGTTATTTGAGGAAATGAAGCAAGCAGGTTGTGAACCTGATGCAGTAACCTACAATGCATTGATTAATTGTTTTTGTAAATTCGATAGGATTGCTAGAGCTTTTCAGTTTTTCTCTGAGATGAAGCATAATGGAGTCAGACCTAGTGTCATAACTTACAGCACACTGGTCGATGCATTGTGCAAGGAAGGAATGATGCAACAGGCCATCAAAATTTTTATAGACATGAAACGCCTTGGTTATTCTCCCAATGAATACACTTATACTTCTCTTATTGATGCAAATTGTAAAGCTGGAAATTTGAGTGAAGCATTGAAGCTGGCCAACGAGATGCTCTGGACAATAAGTTCTGAATTGAACATTGTTACATACACAGCTTTATTAGATGGCCTTTGTAAAGGAGGGAGGATTACAGAAGCAGAAGAACTTATCACTGGGATGCTGAAAGCTGCAGTAGCTCCTAACCTGAAAACTTACACTGCTCTTGCTCATGGATATATTAAAGGTAAGAGCAAGGAAGATTATATTGAATTTTTGAAGCAAATAAAGATGAAAGGATTTCAGCCTGATTTGATGCTTTTTGGGACCATCATCTGGGGGCTTTGCACTGAAAGGAAGTTTGAAGAATGCAAGCTTGTTATGTTTGAGATGAAACAGCAAGGTATTGGTGCAAACCCTGTCATATACACAACACTTGTTGATGCTTATTTCAAAGCTGGAATGACCGCGGAGGCACTCGATCTGGTACGGGAAATGTGGGACTCGGGTGTTGAGGCTACAGTAGTAACTTTTTGTGTACTAATTGATGGGCTGTGCAAGAAGGGTATGGTTCAAGAGGCAATTGATTACTTTGCTACGATGCCCGACTATGGTTTGCAACCTAATGTAGCAGTCTACACTGCTTTGATGGACGGTCTTTGTAAAAATAATTTCATAGAAGCAGCTGTGACTTTGTTCAATGAAATGCAGGAGAAACATATGATTCCTGATAAGACAGCATACACTACTCTAATAGATGGGTATCTGAAACATGGTAGCTTGCAAGAAGCATTAGATACAAGAAACAAGATGGTCGAGCTAGGTTTGCAGCTTGATCTTCATGCCTACACTGCGTTGGTTTCAGGTTGTGCTAGATGTGGCAATCTACAGCAAGCTAGGATATTTCTTACTGAAATGATTGATAACGGCATTTTTCCAGACCGGATGCTTTGTGATAGCCTACTAAAGAAGTATTATGAGCAAGGCCTTACTGTCGAAGCGATCGAATTGCAAAATGATTTGGCGAAGAAGGGTCTGATAGATGGCAGCTACGACTGTGTTGTTCCTGAAGTCTGAGATGGGTCTTATGCTCCACATCAAGACACTGAAAACACTTGAATAGAATGGATACTGATAAGGTCCTTCACGAAAAGAACCAATTGATACATGAGTGTGAGGTTGTCAGATGACGGACTTGCTCACCCGTTGTGCTTTTCCTGGATCAACAACTTCCAAAGAACTTTGTTGTAAGTCTTACTCTCAATTTTCTGCTCTTGATATTTGTTGATGTCTGTTTCATACTGCCAACTGTAACTTTGTGAAGCTGAACCAAACTTGCAATTGAGTGAATGTGTAATTCTTGCTCCATTGTATTTGTCGTCATGTAGCTCACTTGCAAGTCTTGCTGCAAAGCATTTACGCAAGTTTTGTATTCAAGGCATAATGTGCTCAAAGAAGCAAGGCACTTCGTTGGCAAGTCACAAAAGTGAAAATGATTGAATCTCCAGAGTTCAATGTGTATTCCTGAAATGGTTCGTGAGTTGACTACTTTCATCATTATGGTGCATTTAGCTTCGTATCTTCTTAGCTGATAATGTGGCTTTAGGTGAAACTATTGGAAGGCTGTTCTGCTACCCTGTCCCTTAACCTTGACAAAAGGCCGCTTCAGCAGGATTTGATGTATTTTGGAGGCATGGTGCACAAGCTTCCGGATTCCATACTTTTGTCGGCTTCGTGTTACTGCTTTTTATCTTCACAGGTTCCTTTTTCCACCCTGTTTCAGTCTCTAGCTTCTGCTTTTGCTCAACAATAAAGAATAAGCAGTGGCTCACTGTTTCTATAGTGTCTTACACTTGGCATTCTCTACATGCAGTAATAGCTTTGTTGTATACATTTGGTATCTAGCAGATCAACTCATTTCAACAGCTAGTGAGAATAAATTCGTGGTACATTGTTCCCCTTACTGCAACTTGGTTCTTGTGTGTTCTAATTTGAAACTTACATCATCTCACTCTGCATTTTGCCCCTTGTTACTTGGACTTACAGACCGAAGAGTTGGAGCTTTCGGAAGACAAACAAGAGCTCGCTCTGAAGGACACACTTTGGCGAGGATGGTGAGAATGAGGAAATAGTTCTTCATGGTTGTTGCCTTTGTGGGTTTCCACTGTTCAGTGGAATGTTGTATGTTTCGGAACAGAACGACTGTAAATTGTAGCAAAATTGTAAATCAAGAATGTGGGTTGATTACTATGGATGTCTGATTAAGTCTTTATAATCTGTAATGTAACTGCCATAATCACAAAAGGAAATGTCAAAACAGTTTATTTTCCTCAAAGAACAAAACACTAACGATAAAATGGCGATATAGCCATGTGTGAAGATATCGTGTTTTAACTCTATATTTTGGCGACAAATTGATGTAATATAAATTCATAATGAAGCAGTTAACGATCGATTAGAACTCTAAGAAAGGTTGCAGAGAAAGAAACCCTGCTTTCCGTAAATTTTCAAGTAGTCCAATCAATCACAGCAGAGACAGCATTTATGGTTCATCTACTTCGTTCCATTCTCTGCAACTTCCTTCCCCCGATATCCACGTCCACCACTTCCCGCCGGCGATTCTCTCTCCCTCCTCCCTCCGCAGTCACAATGTCGTCCCGCGGCTCCGCCTCTTTGTCCGTCCGCCGCGCTCTCTTCATCTTCACCTCCGGCTTCATATCATTCGTCCTCTTCTACAGCTTCGTCGCTTCCTTCTCCCTCCGCATCTTCTCCTTCCCCACCGTCCCCGCGGTTCGCTTCCCTAACTATTTCTCATCTTTCTACGAAGTAAGTCTGGTTTACTCGCCATTCCTCAGCCAGTTACTTACTGCACTCTTTGAATTTTTCGTTGAGCTGGATGGATTAAAAACCTTGGGTGGGGGCTTTGTGTGATCTGTATATAGCCTAGCGACGAAGAGAAGCTTGACATTGTACTGAGAGGTGCGGCCATGGAAGACAACAAGACAGTAATTCTGACGACATTGAATGAAGCTTGGGCGGCGCCGAACTCTGTGTTCGATCTCTTCCTTGAGAGCTTCCGCACTGGATTGCGCACCCGTAGACTGTTGAGCCATTTGGTCGTCATAGCGTTGGACGAGAAAGCCTATCGCCGGTGTAAGGAACTGCACGGCCATTGCTATGCTCTGGTGACGGAGGGAGTTGATTTTCGGCACGAAGCCTATTTCATGACTCCAGCCTACTTGAAGATGATGTGGAGAAGGATCGACTTCTTGCGCACCGTGCTTGAATTGGGTTACAATTTCGTCTTCACGGTAATCATTCACTCCCCCTGCCTTCATTTCTGTTTACATTTCTCTGTAACTTAGCCATATTGTGTAGTGAATGTTTTTCCATGCTAACTTTCAGGACACAGATATAATGTGGTTTAGGGATCCATTTCCACGGTTTTATCCAGATGCGGACTTTCAGATTGCTTGTGATCTCTATTCAGGGGATAGTCTTGGTTTAGGAAACATAGTCAATGGAGGGTTTAGTTATGTGAAGGCCAATAATCGTTCGATAGAGTTTTACAAGTTCTGGCACTCGTCACGCAACACTTATCCTGGCCATCATGATCAGGATGTGCTGAATTTTATCAAGAAAGATGAGTATGTAAAGGATCTTGGGTTGAAGATGAGATTCTTGGACACTGCTTATTTCGGCGGACTTTGTGAGCCGAGCAAAGATTTTAACTTAGTTTGCACAATGCATGTGAACTGTTGTTTGGGTTTGGATAACAAGCTGAATGATCTTAAAGTGATGCTTGCGGACTGGAGGAACTTCTTGAGCTTACCGCCAAAGCTGAAAAGAGAACTACGAATCTCATGGAGGGTTCCCCAGAACTGCAGGTGAGATATATAAGTCTACTGTAATTTTTGGGAATGAATATTTGAGCTTGGAAATCTCTGACTAGCCACATACTTCCTGTATATGAATTTTGTGCTGTTGTATAATGTTGTTTGGCGGTTATTTTTCTAGTATTGATGCTGTCCTTGCGCATGATTCTCTACGAAAACGTGTTGAAGAAGATGAAGGGGAAGAATAGCAGCGTTCAAGGAAGCATCGGTGAAGTCTCTCGTGAAAGCAAACCCAGAAGGTAAGCTTCTGCCCTGCATAGGTGAAATGTCACTAGAAAGTTGGTGATTGAATGTAACTGTCTGAAGGGTGAATAACCCCTGAAGTATTATTGTATGTTTAATCCACCTAAAGCAGATATTACTAGGTGTCCTTCTCCTATATCGCTTACCAGCCATTATGTAACTAGGGATGTAAACTGTTAACTGCGACTGCTTCCTGCATTTATGAAACTTTAGAGGCAAGAGTTTATGTTACTTCGTTGATGGAAAATTATTGAGTTTTGCATCTGACCTTTCCTTTCAAAGAAAGTTTTTTGTTGGGCTGGTAGATGAAATTTTGGGTCCATCAGTCGAGCAAAAGCCGAGAATTTCCCCATGCAGATTGAGCTACTAATCTTGCTGGGACTCCATAGGTTTAAAGGTTTCCACCCTTCTTTAGGGCTTTGATCTCGCCTACACCATAATAAGTGAGAAATTGTAGTTTTTCACAGTTCATTGAGAACAAATGCATGAACACCCCACGTCAATGACTTTGAGCAATGATATTGAGAACTGGCTTGTGGTTCTAATAGTTTTCCCTTGCATGGCTGCCTCAGAAAGTCCCAGCTTAACTATGACAAATTGTGCGTCAGTAACAATACAGTGGTTGAACATGAAGCAACCACCCATCTACAGTAGTTGCTTCAATAAAAAGTGGAGATAATAGCAGGTTATATTCGAGCTTCAATTGGCTTCTTAATTACAGTCTCATAAGCACTGGAACTCCATGGCATAGAATCTACCAAATTTGGAAGATGGGTGCTGCTAAACAGGTGCAACTGGCAGCGGAGCTAGAAAGTCTACAGGCTGCAGCAACAACAGACAGTTCAACAGCAAAAGCTTATCATTCTTCCAGTCCAGTCAGCTAACTACATTCTCCGAGAACTAAGGAGCTTTCAAGCCTTAGATGGGGAAGGGAAAGCAGTTTTAGGGAAGAGCTTTTGACATTTTTCACTAACTTGTGCATGTAATTTTTCCTTCCGGTGTAAACTTGTGTATGTGTGTCTGAACTTTCAGTATAGAGTATGTTATTTTTGTCACTTTAGATATAGAAACCACCCAGTTTAATGTATGAATCTATCAAGGACTAAGGCAAGAGTTCCAGGGATAGTTGAGGTGTAAGAATTATCCGATCTTAGTGCAGCTTGAAATACATCAAAATCTTCCATCCACCTGCATAAATCACTTAGCCGTCAATTCTTCAATGAAATCTATCGACCATCAATCACATTCAGAAGTATATCGTACCTCCAAAGCAAATTGGTGTTGAGACTCATCATTCTTGTGGAATACCGGTACAAGATGCAACAGAGTTCTGTAGAGTATTTGCTACAGGCAGAAATCGTATTGCGATATGAATTACTCGCGATTCACTCGGTTTTCTGGGACATGATCATTATTTAGTAGAGTTGGCCGAGTGGTTCAAGGCGTAGCATTGGAACTGATTGATCAAGGAATGTCGACTACATAACATAAGCAATCACAGTTGGGAATGCGGAAGCAAAAGCTTTTGTAATGATCGCCCCAACAAGCTGACCAAGTAACGATTTCAATATGAGCAGGTGTATCAACTAGAGCATACTCAAGCTGATCTGCTCCCTTCTCTATCATAGAAACAACAAATTGGAGCATATACCGGAAGATTGTGATACTCTTCCAGTTTCTTATCAGGCACAAGGAACACCAGAAAAGATCATGACTTCACTCCAACTATTGCTGCAACAGTCCCTCAAAAAAAAAAAAAAAAAAACATTTTGCTGCAACAGGTTCTTAAACCTGTACCTCAACAACCTTTGTGGCGAACAAGTAGAGTAACCTTAGAATTCCACCATTGTATGAAGAACATGCATCTTCAATTCTTCATGGTTGTTTGATGCAATTGAGCCGAGTAGATTTTTGTGAATAATGGGTAGAGATACTCGTCAGTTTTGAGGGCTACTTGGGATTTAGATCAGGAAAAAAAAGTCAGCAGCTGGTTTGCTTTACAAGTACGCAATTCCATTGTCCAGGAGCTGGAAAGACTATATATGCAATCAAGATTGATCTCAGATTATCATGAATGGCTAAATATAATCAAGTTTCAATCATCTTTTCATGTTTCTCATAACGGGAAAGCACAGTTAGCAGAGCCATTAACATCCCCCGGTCTAAGCAGAAAATACCACATCGCCAAGAAGAGGATGCAAAAGTGGGCAAGCTGGTGTATATAATAACTCGATAGCCCGACGGTGAAAAACATCTTTGCGCTTGGGGCAATGACGCAGCTAGTGAGGTAATAACCGAGGCGCGTCAATTGCTGGTTGAAAACTATTTCCAAACCCCCTCTTAGGCCGCGGCTTGCCCGTGGCCTTCGAGAATTTCTGGAAGGGCTCCCCTCGGGGTAAAGCCCTACAATTCTTAGTCCAATTCTTTTCCTCACGGGCTTTACCTAAAATAATGTCCAATGGTCTTTTTTAGTAAACTGGGCTTCAACTTCCCGACTAAAGCATTGTAGAGTTGTTTTGATGACTGTGTTTAAAAGGTCTTGGTCTTCTATTCTGATCTGTAGCTGCCTGCCTTTTCTTAATATACCCTGCTGTAGTTGCAAACAATTGAGAGAGGATTGAGATGATACCAGTGCATTTGCTAAGTAACAATCTGCTGGTTTCAAACAAATGGGAGGATTGATGTCCTAGAGAACTCATGTTTGGAAGAAGAACTGGTCCAGTTACCTCTTAACTCAATCGAGGAGAAGCCAAATAGTACGTTGAATTTTATACTCTCGTTTGAAGGCGGGGAAAGAAAAACCTGAATCCCAGATGTTATGTTCTGCAGCATTTTTTTACTTGGCTGGGGATGCGTAAATCTCCATTTTACAGCAGCAGGTCGTTGCTTGGTCGGTGTGTTGTGTTCGTCCATGGTTTATATAAAATTTATACCCTTCTTCTGGTGGGTGGGGATGAAAACCCTTCTCTCCAGCCTCTGTGATATCAATGTCAGAAGCCATACACTTGGTGGTACTAAGAGTTGTAGTAGAGAAAGAAAGAAACCCAGGCACAAAGGCTGATGGTGTGTGGCTAAAGAAGAGGAGTCCACCACCCAAAATTAAATACCACATCGAAAGGTGGACACTAGACCACCACCTTCCCTAGCATGCTACGCTATAAAAGGGAACTCCAACATAGCTTGATTCCTCACGCAGCCTTGCAGTGAGTACATAGCGAACTATTCTTTCGCCTTTTACTAAAGAATACCGTGTACGCGCTGTTTAAAAGAGGCATACGTCAATTTTTGGAGGGGTGTTTCTTACTTGAAATGCCCCAACAATATTTAGTTCAGTTGTTTCTTTATTATTTTTTCTTGTATAGTTTCTAATTTTTGGAGTGCTGTTTAAAAGAGGCATACGTCAATTTTTGGAGGGGTGTTTCTTACTTGAAATGCCCCAACAATATTTAGTTCAGTTGTTTCTTTATTATTTTTTCTTGTATAGTTTCTAATTTTTGGAGTGGTGTTTCTTACCTGGAATTCCCCAACAATATTTAGGGCTTGTTTGCTTGGTGGATTTGGTGAAGGATTTGGATCCATCATGGACTTTGTCCAAAATCCATTGTTTGCTTCATGCATTTAGGGGAAACAAATCCGTGGGTCCCACGAATCCGTGGGTCCCACGAATCCGTGGGTCCCACGAACTTTAAGAGACCAAATCCGTGGACCCCACGGATTTGAAAGTTCCACCTATTTAGGTGGGAATTGATCATGGACTTTGAAGTCCATCATTTTTTACCAACATACCCTTCATATTTGTTTTCTCTTCTTATATCATTAAGGGCAATAAAGGTAAATTACACTTCATACATACAAATTTAATAAACAAAATCCATCATGAAATCCATCAAACAAACAATAGTGTTTATCAAATCCATAATGAACCTAAAACCCTCATTTATCCATGGTTTTTCAAAACCCAAGTTATATCAAAACCTTCATTTTTCAAATCCACGACGCAAACGAGCCCTTAGTTCAATTGTTTCTTTATTATTATTTTTTCTTAATATTTAGTTCAATTGTTTCTTTATTATTATTTTTTCTTGTATAGTTTCTAATTTTGGAGTGGTGTTTCTTAGCTGAAATGCCCCAACAATATTTAGTTCAATTGTTTCTTTATTATTTTTTTTGTACATATTCTTTATTATTGTTTTGTCCAAGTTTGTCAACCCGCGGGTTGACCCACTTTGATCCTGACCCGGTGAGAAAAACGGGTCGCACGTACCCGCCGGGTCGACCGCTACAATGTACCGGGTTGGAGGTCAAATTGTGTTATTTTTTTCCTAAGTTGAACATTTGAATATTAATGTTATATAAGTGTGTGTGAATTTTCACTATATGTTGAATCTAAGTACGACATGTTATTTTGGTGTAATATTATATGTTATAACTCATATGTTAGATGAGATTTGATATAATTTATCAGGATAAGTACAATATAATGATGCTTTCCATATTTCCGGGCTAAACCGGGCTAAAACGGGTGACCCATTAACCCTTGACCCACTAGCTCAACCGGGTCCGGGTCAACCCGCGGGTTGACAACCTTGGTTTTGTCACATGGCATTCCTATTGTACATACGCAGAGCATTGGCCATGTTAGTGAACGAGATAGGCACCACAAGAGGGAGTCTTTCAGAGCAAGGAGCTCAATGAGAAAGGGGTCTAAAATATGGTCGTAGAGGCGGCCAAAAGCAAAATAGATCAATCGCCAAACAAACCTACGAAACCAATAGCACCACCCACATAGGATTTTTTTTTTTTTTTTTACAAAGGGGGACTTTATTGCACTTAAAACTGGTCAGTTACAAAGAGGGAGAACGAACCAACAATCTGGTTCCAACAAGAGGAAGCCCAAGGATCCGGTTACAAACAAAGCTGGGTAAGACAAAATGCAACAATAAAGAACAGAACACAGTCTGCAAGCAACCGCCCAAAAGAGCAAGACCCTTGACCGTAAAAAGATCATGAATCTCTCTTGCAAACAACCAATCAAAGTGCAACAAAACCACAATCAGCTTGTCCGATCATATCAAAATCCATGGTAGGTGAACATCATCACTCCATGTGCCGCCTCTTGGGGTAAACTCAAAGGCATCCATCACAGTGAATCTAGAAACTAGACTGCGTGGCGGTGGAAGAGGATATGAACCAGATTGCTCCAAGTTGAAGAGGCAGAGGAGGCCGAGGCAGAGAGATCAGGTTCGAAGAAGAGCAGAAGCTCCCAAGGTAGCCACAAACTCCACGGAAAACACCGATTCCCAACCTTAACCACCGGAGAAGACCCAACCCACCACCATCCGACGGCTCACCAAGCCAGTCAAACACCTAGGGAGGTTTGAGAGGAAAAGAAGGGAATGGCTTCATCTTGAAGTTGAGGCCACCAACGAGGGACTACCCACCATCCAGATCTGGAAGATGCTCTCAAGTTGCAGACTCCAGCTCCTACGATGAGCAAGCCCAAGAATCGAGAACCTAGATCTGAAAGAAGAGCCATAACTCGACTGGAAAGGAGAAAACTGAAAGCCACAACAGCGGAAAATCTGATTGAAAACTGCCGAGGACTCAGGCAAAGGAAACAAAACATGATAAAGAAACAAAAACAGGAATATAAAAAAAAAATTGGGCCACTGCCGGTCACCTAAAAGGAGCTGGCGGCAGCCCCTGAAACCAGAAAAGGAAGACTAGAAGAAGAGAGAAGGCAGAGGAAATTTCAAAAAGAAAAGGTAGAGAGAGAGTGCCTCAACAACTTTCCACATAGGCTTTTGTTGCTCCATCAAAGTGGATGAAAACAGCTCATTGGGAATGGGTGATGGTGGTTCGAGGCTACGAGAGGGCTAGGGGTGGGCAACTGGTTCGGTAAAAACCGAGCCGAAAATGAAATAATGTTATTCGGTTTTCCGGTCGGAAAATATGGATATTTCGGAAATCATGGTTATTTTAACCGAACCAAAATTCCGAATTTTTTACCAAAAATTACTATAATTGCAAGCTCCAAATAGTCGATTTTTATGTTTGTAGTTGTTTCGAGACTTAAATATTTGAATCATATTAGTGTTTTACGTGTGAAATGTTTGCTTTTATCATTGATGATGCATATAATTACATATTTATTGTTTATATTAGGGGTGAAAATAATTTGAAAGGAGAAGTAGCATCACAAATTCGATTTTGTGTGAAATTCAGAATCGAACGAACTATAATTCAGTTTAGACTGACCGAACCAAATTATAATTCGGTTCAAATTTGGTTTGAGATTTGGTGAAATTCGGGGACCCGGTATTCATAATTTTGGTTTGGTCGAAACCGAACCGACCGAATGCCCATCCCTAGAGAGGGCGAAGGGGAAGCCATTATAGCACAAGATTGAAAAGTTGTAGCTTGGGATGCGGTCTATTTGGTTCCCTGGTCTTCCATTTAGCATAATAGAGAAGATGGAAGGAACTGAATACCATCATAAGCAGTGGCATAGCCCGGATTTTATCCAAGATGGTGCCATAAAAAAATTACATATTATGAAATTATTATATAACTATATGAATCCATCAAACTATCAACTTTTCACACTTAACATTTATCTTAACATTTATTTTATTCAAATCTTCCAAGTTTCAATTAATTCAGGGGTTAATTGTATGGTTGGTCACTGAAATTATAAAAAAGTTCATGTTTGGTCACTGGTAATATTTAAATCCAATCATGGTCACTCAAAGTTAAATGGTTCAAGTTTGGTCACTCTCCGTTACCTTTCGTCAGTTTCTGTTAACACCGTCAGTTATTTGTGACATGGCTAACAGACTCGCCTAATCACCTATTTTTGACAAAATAAAATAAAATCCAATCCTGCCACATCATAACAACCTAATCAATGTGACCCAACCCGTTAACCCATGATCGAACCTACCCAAATTAAAACCCAAGACAAGATTAACCAATCTACAAAATCGAGGAACTCTGAGATTAACCCAAGATTTCCCTCTTCTCCTCCCTCTCATATTCTTCTTCCTTCAACAGAAACTCCACGTCGTCGCTACCACAACTTCCCCTCTTTTCCTTCACCATCATCAATTCTCCCACTTCCACCTCCTCCTCCAACTCCCCTTTCCAAATCTCACTGCCCGCTACACAGTCCACGACCAATCACTTGTGCCGCCGCCAACCGAAACGACGACAACGGCGACATCGATCAGTTACAGAAGGATTCACAAAACCCTAGCTCTGACGATGGTAACAAGAAAAGCAAGAACAACGGCAGCATCGACGACGATTTGGGGAAGAGGGAGGTAACGGACGACGATCCCCTTTCTTATCCAACATCAACTGGGTAAGTCTGCTGCTGGACCTAGATCCCGACGGACTGCGGTTGGAGGTTGAGGTACGGTCGTTGCTTCCAACTCTTCCTTCGTCAATGGTGTTGTCACCTCAATCTTCTCCATCTTCCTCGTCCTTGGGCCGCCTAGCAACAGTGGAGTCGCCGTTGGAAACCGGACCAGCTAGCGCCGGTGAGGGCGGCGATGTTAGACTTGGAGGAGGAGCTAGCGATGGTGAGGGCGAGCTCGGAGAGGAATTTTTGCTTGAGATTCATATTTTAGGGAAAAATTGTACATAGTTATTCAACGACGACGATTTCTAATTGAACTAAAATTTGCTTGGGTCAAATAAAGGAAGAAGGAAGGATTGGGTCACGGGTTGGGGTGGGTAACTATTGTGGCGGGTTTTGCTGACTGTACTGGTTGAGTTTTATTTTTTTATAATTTAAATTGGGTGAAACGGTACTTGTGTTAGTCACGTCAGCAAATAACTGACGGTGTTAACGAAACTGACGGAAGGTAACGGAGAGTGATCAAACTTGAACCATTTAACTAATTTGAGTGACCAAGATTGAATTTAAATATTTCCAGTGACCAAATATGAACGTTTTTTGTAATCTCAGTGACCAACCATACAATTAACCCTTTAAGTAACTCTCGTCTATCACCTAATATCTTGTTATTTTTATAATAAAAAAAACAAACAAACACTAGTATAGTCGTCTCTCAGCCTCCAATTTGTCAAATTAAAGATTACCAATGACAATAACTTGAGATGTCACCTCTACTCCATTCTCCTTATCCATATCCTAGCTCTAGACAAACTCAAGACTCGTTACTTAGTCTTTTTGCTCTAAATTAAACAATCAAAGTACCGATTGGGATACCGAAATATTTAGGGATTGAGATTGGGATTGAGATTGATTGTAGGATATAATTCGGTATTCGAGATTTCAGTATTTGGTATTGGGATACCGATACTGTAATGATTACCACCACTAAATGAGAGTGTGAGTGAGAGTAAAGCATGGTTGTCAAACCCGGCTCTGACCGGCCGGTCCGACCGGGTTGGGCCGGAACCGGGCACAAAAGGGGCCAGCACCAGCCATATTCTGAGCTAGCCGGCAACCGGTCAAAGCCGGTCAAAATCGGTCAAAACCGGGGTCTGACCGGATTTATCCGGTTACCGGCTAGTGATGAACGACGACAGTTTGGAAATTGGGATTTGTAACCCTAAATCCGATTCCGCCCTTCCCTTCCGTCGAGTCAACCGATGCAGCAAAGCAAGCAGCCCAGATCTCCTCCGTCTCTCGTGTGTCCTCCAAAATTTCCTCCTTCCGCCGGCATCGATCGGCGCCTCTCGCGCACAGCGACGCCGCTCTCCTGCCATCGCCTGGAACCGAGCTCCACACATCTCGACCCAGCTCACCCCGCCGCGACACGACGCCTGCTCCCGGCGGCCTCGACCCAGCTCTCGGCCGCCTCAACCCAGCTCCCGTCGGCCCTACCCAGCTTCGTTCTTCTATTAGGTTACGGTTTCCCAGTGGTATTTTTTTTTCTTTTCTTCTGGTGAGTAGCTTAGGAAACAATATAGAATCTATAGATTCATTCGCTTGTTGTGGTTGTTATTAGTTGATTAGGAATTTAGGACGGAATGCAGTAGCTTGGTAGATGAAATTGATGATGTTTTGCCATCTTGTTAATTACTTTATTTTTATTTTGAGATGTCATATAATATATGTGTATAATTTATTAGGTGTTAGTGGATCCCAATATTAACTCCTATATCCTGTCAAAACCGGCTTAATCCGGTTGAACCCCGATCCGACCATTAAACCTCAAACCCCTTGCCAAACCGGCTTGAAGACTTAATCCGGTTTGACAACCTTGGAGTAAAGTAACTATGATTGAGGGTTGAATTGCGATCAAAATTGGGAACTTTCCAAGAGTTCAAAAATGAATTTGAGAAATAGGATGGAGCCAGCTTTTTGTGCTCTTAAGTCCTAACGTTTTATCAGAAAGGGATCGAACTAACTGAAAACTAAGAAAGAAGTCCGGGAGCTCAATTATCGCTTTCTTTCACGACTGCAGCTTAATCCAAATCTCCGCTTTCACCTTCATGCAATTCTCCGTCGTGAGTCCTCTGAAATGGAGCCTTTTCTGTTCGAAGGAAAGCTTCCCGAGCTCTTCTCCTGTCATCGTCTCCGTCTCTCACCAATCCATCCCCTCATACTCCTACAGAAAATATGGTGGTTGCATGAGATGGCGTTTCGGTAACTACCCTGCGCGGCGGTGGCGCCGCTCTCTTCGGCTGAGAGCGAGTTCGTCGGACAAAGATGGGGCATTGAATTACAGAGAACGCGTGGTCACTACTGGTTACGACGACGGTGGCAGTGGTGTTAATTCCCCGCCGGTGGACGTTATTGGCATTGGGAGTAGAAAGGACGCTGTTCTTCGCTTCTGCTTGGAATCGCCCTTCCAACTCTCGCAATCTGTCCGCTGCTGGTACTTTCGTTTCACGGTCTTATTGAGGGCACGCTGGGGGCTGGTTTGTGCCCAGCTTATCGCCACTCTAAACTAACGTCTTCATACCATATCTTCTTGCAGGAGCATTCAAGCAAAGGATTCCTCAAATACTCAATTAGAAGAAAGGCTACTAGAGAGGGGTTTGTTTCTTTGTTCTTCATTTTGTTTTTGGTGCTTATATCATCGGCCAACTGTTTCTGAGTTTCAATATTTGGCATGGCTTTACATTTAGGAGTTGAAACTACATTTCTTGCTTAGTGCTGCAAATTGCAATAAGATGCATGGTTTTATTATAATAGTCTGGAATGTGTGGCATTATGAGTTTTCTCAGCTGCTGCTTCGGATTATGATGTCTACTTTCCTGTGATATTTTAGAAACAAGACATTGGTTAAGTCAGTTAAGTAGTGGATTTCACTGCTGACCTGGGGGTTTAATGGAGAATTTCTTAGTTCTTACCCATTCCCATTAAGCGACCTAGATGATGATCTTAATTGAGTTGATTGTTACTAGCTCTATGAACTTCCTCTTTTTCTACTTTCCCTGAATGGATGGTAGAGGCTCTTTATGTAAAAGAAATTGCTTTGTGGTGGCTGGAAGTAGAGAATCCATTCCATACCGAGATTCAGGGGCAATTCAGCCTAGTAATATTGAAGTTTAAATGTGGTTACTTTATGAGAACAAACTGCATTTTCAGGTTTCTCATCTATCTAAAGATCTTGAGTGTTCTTGCGACAAAGCAAAACGAATAATGGATATCTATACATGTCTGTTTATTTCTGCAGATCCTAATCCAAGGTGCCTGGAAGCTTCTCAGTTTTTGCAAACTTGTTCGCAGGCTATAATCCTTGTTTGTAGATTCCTTACCCTTCCTTCTCTGCTCATGAGTTTGGCTTTGATGCTTATTATGAACGTTGTTTGGAAAAAAATTGTTGTGTACTGTTGCTTGCTGTATGTATGGTCAGCAAGAAAATGAATATGCTTGCTGTATGGAAACAGTTCTAATACTATTTTCTTCTTACTTTACTAGGTGGCAAGTGCAGGATATGGCTTGGATCAGGATGCAGCTGTTAATATTCTTAAAACAGTCAGATCCAGAAATGGATTAGCTGTTGCCATTGTTGTAAACCCTTTCAGCTTTGAAGGGAAAAGGCGACAGGATGAGGTGGAGTATACTTGGCATTACTTGCTTGTTTACTTTAAAGCTGAATCTTGTTTATAATTTTCGATGTTTTCCTTGGTGCAACTTCTATATAGTCTATTGATCTGACAAAAACTCAAATAGAGAAATTAGTATTTGGAGACGCTGGTTAGAATTTGCCTTCTTCTACATAGTTTGTTGTATATTGGGAGGGATATCCACAATGCACATATTTGTATGTTATGCTTGATCAAATATCATGACTGAAGAAAAGAATTGGAACTTCCAAGGCCAGATACATTTTTTTTCAAATGGTAACTAAAAGTCTAAAACCATGGTTTAGACTTGAATGTGACTCAAAAAGTGTACATCAAAGATTAATACTTCTAAACCCGTAGAACATTCTTAACAATGTATGTCTTATTCGAGTATTCTCCTTGTGCTGTTACATGCATTCATGAGTAGCTATTGGTCTCTTGAACATTGGGTGATCATGATTTGGAAGGCATTTGAATTCAGACTGCATGGCCCACAGATACTTACTGAGTTGAGATTTTCATTCCAATTACAAACAAACAATTTGCAGAGTTTTTGTTTTTAAACAGGAAAAAGGTGGAGTGGGGTTTAACTAATTACTATAAGTGACATTTTTCTGATAATTATCTTCACTTTGTTTTTCCTTTGCTTTTCTTCTCCGTGATGAAATGAGTACATAGCATCTCTCCCATTTTCCTTTGTCAATCCTAGGATAGAGGCATTTTTCTTCTTGTGTCATTTTGCGTTGTGCCATTTTGTTCTCTCCAAATAAATTACGAATCAGAGTGATCTTGACTCCAGGACCAGGAACTAGATCCTTTCTCTGCAGCGTTGAGTTACCTCCCAGAAAATCTCTGAAACTTTGTTGGAACAACAAATGTACCTAGATTGCAAATGTATTTACCATTTGACAATGTAGCTTGCTCTGATACTAGAATCAATATGCAGAAGACTTATGCCACTGTCACCTTCATTGACTTGAGGCTTTACATCTCGTTGGCCTTTCTCATCGATCACGTGATTGAACATCATGCTTGAAACAAACTCTGCAGGTGAAAACTTTGATTAAAGAGCTTCAAGAGCATACAGACTTTTATATAGGTGAGGGTCCCAATGGAATGTATCTTTTGATAGTGGTTCTTTATTTGTGGCATTGAATTATAGACATAGGTTATACTTCAAATCAAATCTCTGGGTTTTTTTTTCTAGTTATAAACTGACACTATCATTTCATACCTGTGATCCTCTTCTTGGCTTGGCATTAGGATAGACACTGTCGATAAATATATACCATAATTTGGTCTTGAGCCTGTTAAACCTTTAAGTTGGTAGATGATACTGAAATTTAGTTCATCTTGTTACACTATTTAGGTAGTGTTGGACTCACCAATACTGCCCGGGGATTGTCGTTTGCCATGGAAATTTCGCCTTAAATTGGGCACTTCGTCTCTTTTTTCTTCCCATAAAGCAGCCCTGCTGTGCTTTCTCCTCTATCTGTTGCATTGGTTGAAACATTTTGACAATGAATTAGCTTTTAAATTTTCTCTACTTATCTGTATGGTTTTTTCTGATAACCTTCATGTAATCTCACCTTTTTATGGTGGAATTGTAAACTTTAGCTATTTGTCTTCGTTGAAATTCTTGGTTCTTCCAACTTGTCATAAAAATCACTTGTGCATCAATTATCATTCATTCAGTACATCAGACTCTCAGTACCCTGTGAATAAGCTTATGTGACGGGCTCATCTGTATTTAGTAGGCCTCTATTATAAGAGAATAGTTGACTGTTGATATGAATTGGTGCTGAAGTGCTTCCAGTTGCTGTAGACGAAGTGTCTCATTGTGCAAGTAACATGCTAGAAATGGGCTTCTGAGCTTAAGTCTCTGTGTTTTTGGTTGCATTATACAGATGTAGGCACTGACACGCTGCTCAAAAAGGATTTGGTGACTCTAGATGAGGCTTTAAGGACTGCAAATAGTGCCGTTTCATTGGCCATAAAGGCCATCTCTTTGCTTGTGTCTGTAAGTACATATATTATATCCCTGTTTTAAGGATTTTAAAGATGTCCAGACTGTAGTTCATCCCTGCATTTCCCACTAACGAATATGTAATTAATCCTTGATGCAACAGCCTCAGGAGACACTTAAAAAACTAATTGATGGGCCACATGATAATGTGAAAGGGATAGTAGATTCAGACATTTTAAAGGTAAGTCTTTATGGCCATTCTCAGAACTAAGTTTCTTTCCCTTTCACCTTCCTTTTGGCGTGTGAAGCAGTCTCAACCCGCATATATGAGTTAATCAAATAGAAAAGTCAAGGTTGCTTGATGGAATTGCTTATGAATAAGGAGCTGAGATATCTGGTCAAACATCACCAGACCATTCACAAGTTGTTTTTCATTTTTATAGTGCGTTGATGCAGCATCATGTCTATTCGTATGTCTATCCATACTGGAGATGTAAAATTATAACTGTTTCTCAACCATAGTTTTGAACGTTTTACTTTTCTTTTTCATTATCTTTGTCATACTTCTGGTTTGGATGTCCCTGAATAAGCTGCTTTCACAGAATCTGAAGAACCAGAAAGAAGCGAAAATTGGATTTGGAGTGGGTAAGAGCATTAGAGAATCACTGCTGCAGGCCCTTTATGACTGCCCTTTCATTGGCACTGGTATAGAGGTATAAAGTAAACTTAAAACAATATGGGTTGAGCAGTAACCATCATTCTCGTTTGCGATCTATTTTTTTTCTTCTTATTGTTCTGTTTTGCGTGTGCAAGTTTATCCTTTCGGGCAAAGAATCATAGCTGTTGTAACTTTTACATACTGAGGGGTCTGGAATATGCTTGTATGGCCACTCTTTTATCGACTTAGTATCTCTTTTTTTTATTTATATCTAAGTCTTATATTGACTTTTGTTGTCTTGAAATTTAGCCAAAACCATGTTTTCTTGTCTTGAAGAAAGTGATTCCCGTAAAACTTCATACATCTTTTACATCCAACTTATTTCAACCTCCTTTAAATTGAATTCACCCACATCTCCTTTTCTTTTGTTTCCAGACTTGTTATTTTACAAGTATCTGGTCTCATTCTTTTATTTTATTTCAATGCTGTCATTAAGGTAAATAGCTAATAGGATGCAATATTCTGCTTACCATGTTCACAGGATTCTAGTGGGACAGTCTTCTGTGTCATCATAAGCTCAGATATCATCGAAGATGAAGGTTTGCGTGCTGCTTTGCACATTTTCCGCCAGACAGTGGAATTCACGGGGAAAGTTGTTGTAGCTTCTTCCCGTGAACCAAATCTGGAGCAAAACATGCTAGTTTCAGCAATTATTGTCGCAGGGTATGCATCCTTGTGGAAAGGCATGATGATTCATTTTGTTTGCAGTTTCTTTATTCTTTCAGAGGGTTCTGTTACCATTGTGTTGGGGTGTCTTGTTGTGTACATGTGGATAAATTGGGGCAAGCTAGAGCAAACTATGCTTTGTAGAAATTCTACCCAGGCTGCATTCTGCTTTAACCCAGAAGACCGGACCTTAGAGAAAATTAAGGGCCGATCACTGCATTTACAGGGATAAAAGTAGTGGAAAAATAAACTTTTGGATCATAAGTATTCAACGTTAGAAGATTTCTTATTACCAAAAAAAAATGCTTCTTACATTTCTGATGTGAATCTTTCCCCCTCTCTTTAGGTAAAATTCTGATTTGAATTCTTCTATGTTATCAGCAGTAGACCTCACAACCAGACTCCTCCAAAGAAAAACATCTTCTCGGCAATGGTTGAGCATTTCCCTTCCATTTTTAAGTTCTTTATGGGAAACCAGCAATCGGATGACAATGAAAGCAAGACTGACAGTGCCAATGCCTCTGGATCATTAGACTCATTACATGTCAGTGCGGTCGGAGATGAGATTCCCGTGAATGGTATGACCAATGTAGTTGACAGGCAGGGTGAGGAGGACAATGAGACAGTATTTAGCGGACTTGAAGAAGGTGTTGATTTAAGGTCCAAATCCTCAGTCTCCACTCAATTTGCCCTGCAGCCCAACTCTAGCTTTCTTTTCCTTTGTTGTTCCAGGATTTTGACTTTGGTTTCACTATTTGCTATATTTCAATTGTTCAGGGATGGAAGTGGAGAGGAAGATCTATTTACTGGTTCTTCTGATTTTAGTGAACAAATTAATGAAGGTAGAAAACCCAAAGGTTTCTTTGAACCAGAAGGTCCTGGTATAGATATATTCGGTCGAGTGTTTTGGTTATTGAATCTCTTAAGTTTTCTTTTTCTGCAGGCACTATGGCTTTCCAAAGGGAATTGCTGCTGAATGGGAACTTGGGGCTTGGACATCAGATAGCAGAGAAGTGGGCTAACCAAAGGGCTAGAGCTAAGCCACCTCTTGATAACTTAAGTATCTTTCCCCTTCCAGTTGGTGTGAGGCGTCAGGAAGATTCAAGAGATTTTCACGATAACTCGTATGGTGGAGAACTACCAGAGACCCAAGAAGAGAATGGTGTCCAAGAACCACTTGATAACTCTAGTATCTCTTCTTTGGGTGCCTTGACTGATGCTGGTTTTCTAGCTGTGAAGGACTTCTACAGCAATGCGTCTACCTTGTTGAAGGGTAGAAACGATGAACTATCGAAAAAGCAAGGAGGTCTTGCTGTTCGTGCTGCTTCTATGCTGGTACTATACATATCATCAACATATTCTGGCAAATTCCATGATACACATTGGTCACATTTGCATGTGCTAGTTAGCGCAATCCATGATGTCCTTTTGTTTAGCTAACTATGTTAGTTATTCCTTCTTCAAGTTACTTCGAATCTTTCCCCATTCTCATGTTAATCTAGGTTCCACTTTGATGCCACATTCTACATTATTTCAGTTTTTTTTTTACCCAAAAGAGGCTTGATTGCAGATTGCAACTCCTTTTCCCTGTTCAAATTTCTATTCCATGCGAAAAATCTTAGTCCTTCCATAACTTTATAACATGCCATGCGCGGAACTTTCATTTGCAAAGTAATGCTCTTTAAAAATCATTAAAAAATAGCATGGATGGCCAAGGGAAGTTGAGTTTCAAAACTGTAACAGTTGTAACTTGTTCTGTCTTTCGGTAATATCAATGTTTCTATTAAATCCATAAACTACAAATGGAAAATAGGTCATGATTTTTTCTGTGCATATAATGGATTCAAGGGTTGAAATTAACAGGGTAAAAAAAAAAAAAATGGAGTAGTGTTGTTATTCTGGCTTTTGTTTTCACTTTTGATGTTTGGCTTTTTCTTTTAGTATGCAATTATTCTTATTTCTCTTTTCACGCAGGAATCTGAGCGCGATTCACCGAAAAAGTGGAGTCCTGTAACAGAAATGCATTACAGAGGTGGAGTTTATAAGGGGAAATGCCAAGGGGGACTTCCTGAAGGAAAGGTAGACTTCCACAGGCCTGTCACAAATAAGCATTTCATTTTTTTCATCTCATATATTATAGAAGACATTAGAAACGAATTGCCAAATTGAACTTCTATTAGGGCCGTCTTCTCCTTGATGATGGGAGCATATATGATGGCATGTGGCGCTATGGTAAAAGATCAGGACTGGGGGCTTTCTACTTCAGTAATGGAGATGTATTTCAGGGCTCATGGAGGGACGATGTTATGCATGGCAAGGTTTGTGTTTATCTATTCTGGCTGGAATACTGGTCTTCAATCTTGATTTCTCCAGCTGTTTACTTATCTGGATATTTGTTAGCTTACATCTATGATCTAGTGAGAAATGTCGACATGCCATATTTTCAGTGTAGAGAAACACAGTATCGTTGAACGTTGATTCAAATATAAAATTATCAGTGGATATATGTTTGATCATATAGGTGTTTGACCAATAAGGGAAAATCCATATATCTAGATGATCATGAATGTTGGTTTAATGTTTTGTCTACACTTCACAAGCAATCAAAACAGTTGAAGTTACCTGGATAGGGTAAGTGTATTGACTACGTTTCTGAAGGTAAAGTACTTGTAGATGCATTTCTTAAGGATCTTTCAACAAGGCTCTGTGTTGGTTTTGGGTGGTTTTTGCTCCATGCTGATATTATCCAGTCAAAACCGTTAACGTACTAGTACATTGTTTTGAGGTGCCCATTTAGTTTGGAAAGTATGTTTAGCTTGGATACTTCTTGGAAGACTAAATGTTATATATTTTCCTATCATTTAGGGTTGGTTTTATTTCCACACTGGGGATCGTTGGTTTGCAAACTTCTGGAAGGGAAAAGCCAATGGCGAAAGCCGCTTCTATTCAAAGTTCGGCGATGTCTTTTTTGGCCAGTTTGTAGATGGTTGGCGCCATGGTGACTTCCTTTGTATAAATGTTGATGGAACAAGGTGAGAATTTGAGTCGCTGTACTTATTTACTTCGATCTTAGTTCCTTTTGTCTGTGAATAATAGCCTCAACTTCTCATTAACGTGGTAAATACTTAAATTCCAAACTGATCTTTGCATGGCTAAATTGTTGTTTGTTGTTAGATAGAATTTCTAAACTCTTATCTTCAAATATTTACTTTGAACACAGACCTATCTGCCATGTTTTCCTTATCACTAACATGGCAAATACTTGATAATTATCACTACCATTCTAGTTTAGATTTATCGGTAAACTTAGGCACCTAATTCGACCTAGAATGTGTGCTTAGTTCATCTGGAAAATGCACGGCAGCTACAAACATCCATATTCTGTATCATCTTCTGGCTGCAGTGGATTTGAATGATGGCTCAACCATATTTTGTCTTAAATACTGTTAATTAACATCGGAATACTATGAACTCCATGCTTTCATGTCCTTACACCGTGCTCCATCTACAGGTGCGTCGAGGTTTGGAATAAGGGTGTGCTTGTAAGCCGGAAGCCACTGGATTCTGACAACAATGGTCAATAGATATGTAACTCTCTTAACTTTCTTGTTGTAACTTTGTATTCATACAAAACAATTCCATGCTTGCTCTCTCTCTCTCTCTCTCTCTCTCGTGCTGTATATAAAACTATATATTTATTTGTTTAATTGCTGAGTCTCTCCTTGAAATTCTGTTGGGAGAGGAGCATAGGTTGTCAATTAGGAAAGGAGCCGAATGTAGGGGAATTTTGGGATAGTTTTAGACTAGTTCATCGCAGTTCCTCCCAAGAATGTTGTTTTTACTGTTCATTCTTCGAGTCGAAGTCCGGAGCTGGGGTAAACCACATCCAGTTTCTGGCTGCTTTTGATATGGGCGGCCAGCTGAGTGCCGGATTCTCGATGCAGCATGAATTAGGACGCCGAGCCAACAATCCCATCGAAGCCAGGAACGATACACCGATCGATATTGGTGCATGTGATCAGCTCAATGAAGTAGTTCATAAGCATCCAGCAATTGTTGGGGCAGAAGTTCCCAGACGAGGTAATTCCTACTCCTAGTGGCGAGTTTGATTGTGAGCTGGCTCATGGGATTGCCAGGAAGGACTGACGGCGGTGGTGAATTATTGTGGGGTGAGGTAATTTGCCCCCAATCCAATCAGAATATGCGTTAATTAGATTTAAATTTGAAATCTCAATAGAAATTTTTGATATTATTGGGCAATTGGGCCAGGGGGCAAGAAAAAGAGTGTCATGCAGTGTCATATTATTATTGTGTTGTGTCCACTTTGAGGTCACAAAACCTAACATACTTTCCGTGGGCCAAAGAGAATCCTTACAAATCGCTAAAAAACGCCCATCCCATATCCTCTTTTCCTCATTCCTCAAAATCAATTCTTCTTGTTTCCATCCTCTTGTTCCTGTCCCTTTTTTTTTTGTCCTTCAACGCTGTTTCAAATTCGCTCTTTATAAGTGTGAGCCAATGGCAACAATATTGTCTTTGGATGTGAAGATGGTTGACTTAAATCTCATACTAGTACTGTAATAAATAATCACATTAAGTGTTAACATACATGTCGGAAGTGATCGATTAGAAGGGGAAAAAGGGGTTGAGGAAATCATGCGACTATAGACGATAAAGAAGTGAAAATAGTTACAAAACTCCAATCGCAGCTCGTCAAATATATTAAGAGTGTGTTTGAATAGAATGATTCGAATTTGGTATTTGCCATTTGGATTTCTAAATGTCAAATCATGTGTTTGGATATTAATAACATTTGGTATTTGGATTTGTGTCAAAATAATGGGGTGATTTCCAAATACATGTCTAGTGCATTACTTGTCAACTTCAAATACATTTCAACAACTAGTGATTTGAAAGACCTCATAACAAAAAATTGGACATATTTGTAAAATGTTAAAAGTTCAGGTACTATAGTGTGAGGCAACACATATAAAGGTACCAAAACATAAATTTACCCTCAAAATTTCTGGACCTTTTTGTACAATTTTAAAAGTTTAGGTACGAAATTGCAAGAAAAAATAAATTTGGATACCAAATTGTAATTTACCAAAAATTGTAGTAAGTGACCAAAAAATTCAAAATTAAAATAAAAAGACATGAAATTTAAAATACAAACAAAATACAAATGAGTATCCAAACAACGAATTTGAATAACATATATTTCAAATGCATACATTTTAAAAACATGTATTTCAAATACCTTACATTTGAAATACATCTATCCAAACGCACCCTAATAGAGCTGATAAGAGGAAGAGTACCTAACAATACTTTAACTATTTACATTACATCATATCAGTCTTCTACACGTTATTCCTAATCCTGCGCATCATACCTAAACTATTTGCACTACTTGGTCAATCCAATGTCTAACATATTTAGGAATTGTTTGGGTTTGACGATAGTTTGGTTGAAATAATTACAATTTTTGTACTGTTTACATTGCATTTTCTTTAATTTTCTACACAAATAAAATACATGTATTGTGTTAGTGTTGTGGTATATGATCCATGATTGAACCTCTCTCAACAACTCGAGTTATTGGGACCAACTGGTTCTTGACATGGTATCAGAGCCTTCTGTGACCAAGAGGTCTTGTGTTCGATTCCCGGTGACCCCCATTTGTTAAGCACATGGTATTCTTGTCTTCAGACCTGTGCAAACTTCAAGCCCTTGTGAGTGGCCCTCGTTTGAGGGGGCGTGTTAATGTTGTGGTATATGATCCACGATTGAACCTCTCTCAACAACTCGAGTTATTGGGAGCAACTGGTTCTTGACTTTTGCTTAATGTGACATAAACTATCACTGAAAATGAGTGATAGTTAAATATCATGTTTTAAGTGAGATTGTTGAGGAAGTTTATGTGAGATTTTTGAGATTTTTTATTCCAACTATATCGCTAACTTTTTATGTGTTATTTTTTACATTAAAAAAAGATTAAACATGATATTTCTTCCAAAATTTAATATAAATTATTTAAATACTACAATAACTATCATAAAACCAAACAATGTAAATTACAATGCCCAATTTTCTAGTATACAATGCATCAATTCAACTATCACCAAAACAAAACAACCCTTAGACAATTAAGTCCTAAAATCTTATGGTGGTGGCCAGGAAGATTTCCAGAGCAATCGTCGAATGGATCTCGGTGCATAAGAAAATTGATAAGCTTCAGGGAATGATCTTCTTACAGGATCGACTTGCTCGTCTGGGTGCCTCTGCTGAGTGATTCAGTTTTGTGGTGGCTTCTGTCTTTTGTTTCTTCTTTTCCTTCTCATTATTGTTTTCGCTTTCTGCGCTCTGTTGAGAGTGCGCTTTTGTTTCTTCTTTTGTTTCTTCTGATTTTCCTCTTTTCCACTTCTTGTGGGAAGCTCTGTATTTGAAGCTGGTCCTGGTTTTATCTCTTTTCTCAATTTAATTCAAGTTCATCACCATTATAAATAAATAAAATCTTATGGAGCGAGTGAAATGGTTTGAGTTGGCTAACCGATTACTCCGGTCCGAGCAGTTAACCACTTGAACCGCTAAAAATCGATCAACTCAAAGTAGGCGGGGTTACATCATGACAGTTTCAAACCAAATTGTTAGCCGGTCCACGCTTTTACCGATCCGGCCCGATATTGACCAAAAGTTTCTATCATTATGACTGTAGAGGACTCTTGAACGTTATTGTCGAACAAGTACTTGGCTTGTGTTACAAGAAATAAAGCCGGTTAGGACTTATGAGATAATATTATTGTACTTATTATATGGTGAGATGCTGACATAAGAAACATCCTTGGAATAGCGTTTGGAGAATCGGAGGAGAATCCAACAAGTTGTTGGGTCTATTTCCTAGCAGATGAACGAAAGTTCATCCTTTCTATTGGGGGAAATGAATTAATTGAAGCCACAGTTCCTTCTTTTCTGAATCGCTACAGCTACCCTCTAACTAATCACCTAGCTATCAAACGTGCCCATCGAATATGGTACGAAACTTAGTTTCGATAAGTTGTTCAATGTGATCTTTGAATTTGTTAACTTTGGTTGCTCCGATGCATAAACTTCTTATTATGCTAAACCGGTACGTGTGTGTGAACTCTTTTTTTTTATCACTCAAGATTATATGTGTGTTTACACCATAAAATTTGTCTTGTACCACAATATTGATGAGTTATAAGATAATTAATGAATTTATAAGGCCACATTAATTATAACAATTAATGTTACTTAAGTTGGGCTTTATGGATATTGATTTTAAACCAAGTCACTAAGTCATAGTAAGCATGGACATGATTCAATGAGTGACATGGGCCTTTCGTAGGAGGCCATGGCATGCCACGAGATTGTATAAAAATATTATAAGTCTGGAGAAGGACGTGCCACTTCAACGAGGAGGGCCATGTCCCTCTAGAAATTGAGAAGGACGTGCCACTTCAACGAAGAGGGCCATGTCCATCAAGAATTTAGAAGCATGTGCCGCTTCAACGAGAAGGGCCATGCCCATCTAAAATCTAGAGTCACATGCCGCCTCAACCAGAAGGGCCATGTTCGTCTAGAAATCGAGGAGCACATGCCGCCCCACGACCAATACCGAATGACTGAAAAATAAATTAAGTCTGGAACAGGTCTATGCCGCCTCAAGAGAGGAGTCATGGAGACAAATGAGAAGGGCATGGTGATGGAGCATTATACCACTAGTGACTATGTCTCAAGAGGTCCATGGTCGTCAGACAAGAAGGCCATGAATATGAGTAAGAAGTCCATGGTCGTAAGACAAGAAGACCATGGACATGAGTAAGAAGTCCATGGCCACGAGGCAAGAGGATCACGACCCACTTTGTGAGACACCACATGTTTATCAAAAGACTAGCATGTCACGAGATTTGGAACAAGACTAGGCGAGGCAAACTACACTCCAAGACCCACGACGGTTCCAAAAGAAGCACCTAGGCGTTTGAAGGAGTAACCACCACTCCGAGGAAGTAGGGAGCGGTTTTTTTTAGAGTTATCCAACATACGGTTTTCTATGGCGGCTACCTCCTCGTGGCTAAAATAGGAGGATGGGTCGACAGAGACAAAAGGGGCCCAAAACCACACAACTGACACACATGCCAAGTTTATCTTTTTACCTTTTCTCTATCATGTAGCCATAGCGTAACTTTTAGTTTGGAGCTCTCACTGAACCTCCATAGGAGTAGGGGTAATTTAACATAGTTTTCTTTCCCAGAAACCATCAATCAAACACCCTCGTTCAAATTGTGTTTGAAGAGGTTTGAGTCGTGTCTTAGTAATCGTTGTTCAAAGAAGTCAATGTGCAATCAATCTCATTTCAGCGCAAGTTTTCTCGCCGGAAAACAATGTGGCAATTTTGTATCCAATCCAATTCATTTAAATTCAATCTATTTTATCCAAATCCAATTGGATTGGTGAATTCATGGATCGTTGGAAAGTTATGATTTAGTACATATTTTATATTTTACTATTTGGTACCTAAAACTGTTAGACATAATGAAATTAATCATAAATAACGGGGACAACGGATTTACGTGATATCCCTGATTATATAAGGACTAATCCACGGAAGAGCTTTGATGCTCTCCAAGCTGATAATCGTATTAACCTTCAATGTTGGCTTAGGTTACATGACCGAGAACCATACCCTTATACACAGTCTAGAGCACGGCCAAACCCTAGGGTAACACCAACACATACGTCCACCTACATGGGCTTATCAGTCTATCACCCATTGGGCTAACTCAACATAATTACGATAATTAACACTCTATATACATATGTGACTCATGCATGTAGCAGTATGTTCAACAAACTGAATCACAATTTGTCGCCCTAAAATTCAAATTTCTATCCTATATTTCGTTTACCTCTGGATCTCACCGAGAAATTTCACAAGTTCCCATTTATTGGCATTTGGCAGCATCCCATTTTCATTCCCACATCTTTTTTTGCCATCTGCCTCATCGTAAAACCGAAGTTCAGGGTTTGCAGAACTACTAACCAAGTATCTTTTAGCAAGGTCTTATCTTCACCCGAATTTTAAGTGTTTGAAAGACAAATAAATGAACAAAGGTCATCAAAGTAAATTTGATTTAATTAGAGCGACGAATAGCAATGC